TTAATTTGGCCTTCAGTTATCTTCTGCATCAGGTCTTCATGGTCATACCTTGCTAGTACATCACCAAGTTCAGGACTTCCATCTTATTGTTCATATGGTGATGACATTTACTTGGCATCAGCAATTCAGACTAATTTTCTCCCCCTCAAAATAACTAATTCACACCCATTTTGGCTACCATCACCACTACGACCTTTTCTTTCTCTTCAGTATCTCCATTTCTCATGTTAACGTGCTCATATTAAACTTCCTGGTCTCTTAAACAATTCAGTTTTTAGAGGGCAATATCTTAACTCAGGTTTTTACTATCTGTTAGCACTAATTGGATAGAACCTTGACCTTGCATACAGCAGCCCATACCTTTCTATTAATGTCTTGTTACCACAAAGCCTAAAAGAGATCTAAATACTGTGTCCACCTAATTTTTGTTTTAAAAGTTTATTTTAAATGAAATGGAATCACATCTCTTTCCCCATCTCTCCCAGTTACTATCCCTTAAACCACCCCCATTCGCCCAGAGTTGACAGCTTTTTTCTCTTTATTATTGTTGTGTGTGTGTGTGTGTGTGTGTGTGTGTGTGTGTGTGTGTGCGCGCACAAATACATATAAATACAACCTACTCAGTCTGCTTTTGTTATTTGTGTAGATACAGTTTTTAGGCAGACTATACTGAACAACCAAAAAGGTGGCTCATTCCTGGGAGAGGCTAATTATTATTCTCTCAGCAGTCATTGTTTGCCTATGTCTTCATTTAGGCATGGGGCCCTAAGAGATTTTACCCCTTTCAGATTCGCTTAACCATTGATACCGCCATTGTTCTGGTCTTGTTCATGCAGCCATTTCTAGGAGAGACTGTTTTACGATAGATTTTATGGTATTGGACTCTTTTTCATAAAGTTCCCTGAACCATAGATGGAGGAGCTATGATGTAGAGTATCTGTTGGACTGGGCTCCCCATGGTCTGTTGCTCTCTGTATTCCTGTGATGGTCTCCATTGGCTGTAAAAAAAGAAAAAGGCATCTGTAATGAGGGCTGGTAGCTGCACCTATCTGTGGGCATGAGGATAAGATTTAGAATGTGGTAGGGAAAGAATTAAGCTAGTCTGAGCCCTGGGGAGCTAACTAGGTTTTTAGTACCAGACATGATTCCTTTCCTGTTGAATGGACTTTAAGCCTATTAGATATTGATTGCAACCAATATGTGGGTGCCACTTCCTGTATATCTTGTCATCCTGGTCATTGTTGTGGTCAGTAGGTATTAGGACTGTTTAATTGTTTCCCTCTGCCATTTAGCAGCTTGCATAGAATTTTCTGGAACCATGGAAGCTAGATCAGAGGAAAGAGGCTTTAAGGTTAGATATAGCTCTAATCAGTTGAGTCCTATGACCAAAGTGTGTGGTATCTTCAGCAAAAAGGGCCTACCTTCAACTATTGAGAAGCGACCAAGGGTTACATGTATAATCTATACTGCTTTGGGAGTCATTTGGATTACCCTGAACAATTTGAAAAGAGATTTTTTTGTTAGTCATTGGTTCTTGGGAACATAGTCCAAGTAGTTTAACTTTGTGTGTGTGTGTGTGTGTGTGTGTGTGTCCATCCACACACTTGTATATAATTTTAGGTAAACAAAATATGATTCCTTGAGGCTGTATCAAACAAACTTGGTGTTCATTTGTCAAACCTCATGCTTCCTGTCCTGACCTCTCCCTGCTGTTCTGTTTCCTACTTTAAATCACACCTGTATCTCGCTGTCCCCCCTCCCTCTTTGGTCCCTTTATACTCTCTTGGTTTCTATGGTTACTGCATGTTATGCGCTGACATTTGAGGATGTGAAGCTAAAAGGTCCCTGTTCAGATAAAGAAACAACCATATGAATAAGAAACTCAATGAAATGGAGAGAATCTTTGACAGATTCAGAGAGAATTAATACTCAGAATATACAAAGAATAAAAAAAAAAAAAAAACCAAGATTACAAGGAAACGTATGATCCACTTTACAAATGGGCTAGAAATCTAATTAGAATACTTGATGGAGAAAATAAACATGACTAACAAATACCCAAAAAATCTAAATGAAAGATAATTTTGAGATTTTGCTTCATCCCAGTCAGAATAGCTCCAATGAACAAGACACTGGATGACAAATGCTGATGTGGTGGAGAGGGAAACATTAGTTCACATCGTTGAGAATGCAAGTTGGTGCAGTCACTCCAGAACTCAGTATGGAGCATCTTCCAAATACTACAGATAAATCTACCACATGACCCTGCCATACCACTCTTTGTCATATTCCCAAAGCACCCAGCATCCCATTCCACAGACATTTGCTCAACCGCTCATTCATAGCCACCCTGATCACAACTGCTAGGAAATGGAAACAACCTAAATGTCCTTCAACAGATGAATGGGAATGTTTTAACATTCAGTTGTAAAAATAAAAATAGTATTACTATATCTGCATGGATGCAGTGGACTGACCTAGAAAGATTATACTGAGATAAAGCAGACCTAGAGAGGCAAATGTGTGTTCTCTTTCACCTGCAGGTCTTAACACCTGTTTTTTTTTTTTTTTTGTTTTTTGTTTTTTGTTTTTTGTTCTTTTGAGACAGGGTCTCTGTGCATAGTTCTGGCTGTCCTGGAACTCATTGTGTAGACTAGGCTGGCCCCAACTTCACAGAGCTCCTGAGTCATGGCCAGCTGCACCTCATTTCTTCCTATGTTTAAGTCTATTTTTTTGTTATGAAAAGCCTGTTTTTTCATTAAAAACATTTTTTTTTTTCCAGTCTTAGGAAGTTATTCATGGGGAAGTTTCATCTTTTAGTTCCATGACATGAAAATCTGCCTTATGCCCCTTCTCAACCCCAGCCCAGTGTCTGCCTTGGGCTGCTGACCCTTCTGCCTTCTTAGACATGTTAATGTGGCAGCTTGTTCAGTGAGCCCTCTCAGTTTCCTTTTGAGTGGGATCCTAGACCCCATCTACAGCCGTCTACAGCTTCTTCCCTTTCCTGCCAAGCATTCTTACTCACTCTGCATACCCATGTTTATCTGCAGTCGTTACGGCCAGACTGGCATCTGAGCATCAGAAACTCTTGGATTTACAGAAGCACTTAGATGCACATGCATGGGGTCTGCTGGTCTGGTGGTTGAGTAACAGACGGGCTCTGTAGCCGAGCATGTTATTTCTCCCACCCTGAAATAGAGCTGTCTAAAATAAGGATTGTAGATAAATAGCCTCATGTTAGTTCGTGTCAGATTTGCTTCCAGATGAGTTGTTAAAACTTGAAAACTGTCAGTGATGGTGACTTTCCAGTTACAGATGAGACGATATGGGCAGGCACTTCTGCTTTCCCACTCTTCTGCTTTTTAATTCACTTTGCTCTTACTTCCTTCACCTCTAAATGGCTCTAAATTACCAGTGGCCTTTATCTAAAGTTAGCGTGTTCCACTGATTGGTCGGTCAGCCTCTCATCATCTGATTGGTCAGCAGCTTCAGCTCCTGGGGATGTCAGCTCTGTCCTACAAGCCACTCTGTTGCCGTCCTTGGTGTCACTTTTCACTGGCTTCTCATCTCTGGCAAGTGCATCCTCTGGCTGAAGTACTTCCAGATTTGTCCCTTCTCTTTGGCAATTGCGTGTCTTTTTTCTTAAATTTCCAAATATGTGTTCCCGAATCACAAATGTGTACTGCAGTTCAAGCTTTGCATGAATTTGGTGAAGTACCCACTTGCCATTTGAAGCTCTCAGATGGTCTGGTTTCTGAATAAATCTTCATGTCGTGGTGTTCTTGTCCTCAGGAGGAGTGTTTTCCTATATTGTTCCTTCATCTCATTTCTCCTATTTGCTCACATACTATGGTGGTGTCCATTTCTATAGAAGCATGGGGGTCTTGTATCTGGCCCTCTTCAGTTTCATATGGCCCACATTGATTTAGAATGGCTTTCCTACCACAGGGTCAGTGTAAGGACTGCCTTCTGGAATGTACTTCCATTTATTGTTAATAGGCATCTATCTATCTATCTATCTATCTATCTATCTATCTGACCATCTGTCTGATTTCTTTCTATCCATCTATCAATCTATCTCTATCTGATCATTGAGCTCCAGTTCCCACTTTCCTAGAGAGGCTCTAATTCATGTGTGCTCTCATCAGATCTTGTGGCACCATGTATGAACTCTACACTAACAGCACTTTAATTTTGCATCTTAAAATTCATTGTATGTTCTACCTCTAGACTCTGAGCACAAACATTTCCTTCTTGTTCACCTTTGCATTTTTAGCGAGGTTGGCCTGCAGTGGGCAAATAGTAAGCATTTTTAGTAAATTCTGTATATTAACTTATCTTTCCTAATTAACTTGGTGCGGTCTTTATGCATTTATTAGTGCATATGTAGTTTCTGTGTTTTTGTGGATCCAATCCTGTTGGTTCTCCTTGAAAATTAAGAAAACCATTTTAAAACCAGAGAATTTTGTCTAAATAGTCAAATGCATAGTCTTCTTTGATCTGGCTCATAGCTTCTCCTTCATGCTTTCAGGGTTTTCTGTATGTCCTGCCTCCTGTAGATCTCACAGATTGTACTATATGCAATTAAAACCGAGGAACTGTTCAGCAAATCATCAGACTTGCAACTTGTTCATCAGTTGATAAATCTCAGGGGATCAAAATAGTTTAGCCATCTGCTAACTGACCAGACAATTTTAGTATTGTGAAAGGGTGTGGTCAGAGAGGTAGGTAGAGGATCTAGGTAAAATGTCAGAGTAAGGCTCAGTGCAGAAACCACCTTTACTCTTAATACTGAAACTCAACAGTCAGCTCAAAATTAGGAAGAGATTTGGTGAGGTTAAACCTGAGTGTCCAGACAGTCGGGGATTTCCCAGAATCTTTGTTTCACTGTTTAAGGAAAAGATGCATTCATGAATTCTGTAAATTAACAGGCTCTAACTTACACTGTGACATGCATTTCTGGAAATTAATTGTCCTTTTATATTTTATTCCTTAATTAGGAAAATCAGTTGGATCTCGGTCATCTCAGAGTGAGTCTGAAATTGTGCCAAAAGTTGCTAAAATGACTGTATCTGGGAAGAAGCAAACTATGGGATTTGAAGTGCCTAGGTAAGACTCAGTCCTCACTCCTGTTATCTGTTGTCTCTTATGAATTGATAAAAGCATCTTTTTCAATTGTGTATACCAACCCACTAGCATTAAAGTGTCTCATGCCCTTTGTAAAGGACAGAGATGGGGTGAGAACTTAGTTTTGATAGCTTTATCATGGTATGACTCACCATGAGTTTCCTCACATCAGTGACTGATAGTTACTTTAACATAAAACAAAACTCTGTTTTGTAGACTCTAGTTCTATGAGATAGACCATTCTTAGCACCTCAAGGTAGCGTAGACAAGCAGCATTGGGAGTCAGTGAATCAGACTCAGTGAGTTTTTCATAACTAAATATGCTGTCTTGGGCTGGAGAGGTGGCTCAGTGGTTGTTTTTCCGGATTATTCAGGTTCAATTCTAAGTACCTCTGTGGCAGCTCATGGGGATCTGGCGCCTTCTGCTGGCCTTTGCAGGCATTGCACACACTTGGAGCACATAAATGCAGGCAAAATATCCAAATTAAAGGAAAGAAATTAAAATAAAGGAAAGAAAGGAAATAATAAAGGAAATAAAGGAAATAAGGAAGGAAATAAAATAAAGGAAAGAAAATAAAATAAAAATATTGCCTTGAACTTCTTTTAACTCCTATGTGTTTGTGAGTTTGCATATTTGTGTGTTTGGACATATGTGGATATAGGGAATGTGTGTATTTGCACATTTGTGTATACAGATGTAGTAAATGTATATGTGTGTTTGTGTATTTATGTGTGGATGTAGTGTGTATGTGTGCACATTTGCGTGTGCATATAGTATGTGTATATGTGTTGGCAGGTTTATATATGTATGTAGTGTGTGTGTATGTATTTGTGTGTGTCTGTGTGGGGTATGTGCACATTAATGTAGGTACCTGTGGAGGCCGGAAAGGAGGCTGGAGTAAGCCACCCTTGGTTGCTGTTGGGAACTGAATGTGGGTCCTCTTAAGTAGTAGGCACTCTGCACTGCTAACCATTACCATTATCTTACCATTTGGGCTAGACAGCTAGGGTGCCCTGGGTCTGCATGCTTGCACCCTGTGCAATTACAGATATATGCCACCATGTCAGCTTTTATGTGGGTGCTGGGGATCTGGACGCAGGACCTCGTGATTGCACAGCAAGCTCCTGTGCGCCAGTGAGCTGTCTGTCTAGCTCCTCTTAATTTTTATGCTGAATAAGATGATGGTTCATTGTATCAAAAACACATGCAGTCAAAACGTCCTAGAATTTGGAATATCTAAAAAAACAAAACAAAAACAAACAAACAAACAAAAAAAAAACCACTTAAGTCAACCTTGATGGTACTTGCTATTTTAAAATCAGTCTCTAGAATTCTAGTTTTTACTAGAGAAGGGAAGTGAGTTACATGTGTCTCAAGTGAATTGTAAAATACCAATATTTAGCAGCTTTAAGATTGTTCAGAATTTTTATTCTCTAAGTAGCACTTTTGTTGGGTGTGGTGGCAAACACTTGCTCTCCTGGCATGTGGGAGGTGGAGACTGGAGGATCAGGACTTCAGGGTCATCCTCAGCTACATAGAGTTCTGGACCAGCCTAAACTATGTATGTTGCTGTCTTATGAAAAAACAAAACAAACAAAAAGTACTACTTATAAGTTGTGTATACTTCATTTACCAAAGCATAAAGGGAAAAAAAGTCATCAAATATTAGCAAGGATGACTTTCATTTCAGGATTTGAAATACATTCTTGGGAACCTTATTTTATCTCCTTTATAAAAACCTCTGGTAATGGGAATGTCCCCATGCTAGGTGGGGAGGAATTTTAATGGTCTCCCATTAAAGTGTAAAGTATTTGGATTTAAAAACAAGATTTTATTCAGTCAATTTCAGTGGGTGAAATTGCTCAGGCCTAGGAGGCAGGGTCCCTCCAGTGTGTGGTGGGTGAGATAGGATTCACACTGTCGTGTAGTGATTTGGAGTTGTTGTTCAGTTCTTTAAGTTTTCGAATGTCCTTTGTCTCTTAAATAGGGTTGAGCTGACGTAGATACCCTTTTTATCCTTAATGTGTTAAGTTATATTTAACTCTGTTATGGGAACATCTTGTTTTGTTTGTTTGAGGCAGGGTCTCACTATGTAGCCCTTGGATGTCCTGAAACTTGCTATGTAGGCCAGGCTGTCATTGAACTCACAAAGATCCACCTGCCTATGCCTTCCAGTTACTTTGATTAAAGGTGTGAACCACTCTGTCCAGCTAGGGAGACTTTGATTGAAAAATAAAATAAAATAAAGTTTCAGAAATCTTAGCAGCCAAAAAATAAAGTATTATACTGTACTGGGAATACTCTCAGAACTCCTCAACCAGTAACTAAAATACTGGGTAAAGTGACGAAGAAAGAGAAGAGTTCAGGACGTGAGTCACTGCATGCCAGTATATTATTGCTTTTATAAAATCCAAGCGTTGAGCTAGGTGATCACACATTGTTAATATGCCATCGTAAATACACCCGGACTTGATTGATATGGGCAATATTTGGATGAGAAAATGTAAACTATACACTGACAATTCATTTCTCCATATATTTGTACACGTGTATTCCTTGTTTGGAGGGCACTCTGTTTTGTTAACATTGAGAATTATAACTATCTCTAGAACACAGGTAAGAACTGCTTCAAATATCACGTGTAGGACAGGTGCTCTATACTTAAAATGTTAATTAAATTAGTGTTCAAGTGCCTAACTCAAGAAGAAAGGTTAACCCTTTAGATTTACAAATTAATGGTCTCAATTTTGGAAGTTTGTTTAGAAATAAGAAATCACATCAATTAGTTAAGAAAATAAAATTATATGAGAAAATGTCTACAAACAATGTCTCTAGCTTAGTCTTTCAGTCATAACGGCTACTGTCGGCCTAGATCCAGAATGGTCATTTTCAGATCTTAGAGGCATTTGAAAGTTTATAGCAGTAGCTTTTTCCTCAGGATGCAGAAGTGTTGCTGAGTGCTACCTGATAGAGCGCACCACCATACCTGCCTGCATCTTAGCGGGACTCCAAGTCTGCATTTGTGGGGATTGGCTCTGGTCTCTTTCATTTCCACCTTAACTAACACACTTGAATCACTTAGCTGAGATCCAAAATGTAAGGGATTCAAGCGGCATCTCTGCTCTCTGACACAGTTGAAATGGCTTCCTGACATTTCTCTTTGATCTTCTTTGTAGCTTAACCTCTGAGGAGAATGGAGATAGTCTGCATACTCCTCACAAAGGACCTCCTGGTGACGATGGCAGCATTGCTTCTCCTAATGTTCTTGAGACCAGCACTCATAAATCTGCCCTTCTACCTCCCTCCATTCAAGCATCAGAAGAGCTGAGTTCAAATCCAGCACCAGTGAAAAAGTCTGGCAAGCTGAGGCAGCAGATAGACGTGAAGGCTGAGCTGGAGAAGCGTCAGGGCGGGAAGCAGCTGCTCAACTTAGTGGTCATTGGTATGCCCCTGATGTGCTGTGTCGGGAGGATCTGCTCCAGGCTCACAGCCTCTTGGCAGCGTAGACTTAAGGCAAAGAGGCATTGCATCATAATGCATCCTAGCCACCCTGGGTGAAATGACACCATGTTACCAAGGAGAGCATCAGGCTTGACTTGTGGCATTTTCATTTGGTGAACACTTGGAAAATGGGAAGTATTTTTTTAAAAAATGGGAAAAATTGCCCTCCTTACACACACCCTGTTTAGGTGTTTTAACTTTGATAAAAATTGGTATTTATACTCCAAATACTGCCCTGAGCTATTGAATTAAAGTCATGCAATGCCTCAATGTGAACAACATCTGAAAATGTACCTAGTATTAACCCTGAATCAATTTTCCTTAGGTCATGTTGATGCTGGGAAAAGTACTCTGATGGGCCATATGCTTTATCTTCTGGGTAATGTAAACAAAAGAACTATGCATAAGTATGAACAAGAATCTAAAAAGGCTGGCAAGGCTTCATTTGCATATGCATGGGTCTTGGATGAGACTGGAGAAGAAAGGGAAAGGTAGTCATATTTCAAAATTTTCAGTTTAAAATGATACAGTCCTTTAAAATAAGTATGCAATGTGTGTTGAACATGTAAAACATATAAAATGTGTTAGAGAAAACTTAAAAATTCTTTTTGTTTTGTACATTGTTCATGCTTTCATTCTGTGAGAATAGATTAAGAATATTTATCTGAAACCAAACAACAAAGACCAAAGCCATCTACCCAAAGCAACAGGTCCCCTGAGTTGATTTTGCTGCAAGGAGAATGGGCAGTGTCCCTCCCTCGGCGTAACACACTGTCTTGACTTTGAGTTAAAGTTGAATTTGACTCAGTCTTATACCAGGTTATAAATGAAAGGTAAAAGTGAAACTCTAATGCCTACGCTCAGAGTTCCCAACAGGTGCAGAAGAGAGGTCTCCACAGTTTTCTAACTCACCATGTTCCATGTTCTCTTGAGATAGTCCAGAAGGAAGCAATTAAATCTATCTAGTCAGTCATTCTTTTGTCTGTCTGTCTGTCTCTGGACATTTGGGTAGATTCTAGTGCAAGGATGAAGGTAAGCACATGTCTGTCCAGAGAGTATGTCTTTTGAAGTACTCTACAGTGTAAGTGTATATCATACTTAAGGCTATCAGAGATGGAGAAGGGAGGCCACCTACATAGAGGGAACTGACAGATACATAGCAACTAAGTCAAAAGAGTGACTAACACCCTATGAGGCCCCATGGAAGCTCTTCTAAGTTAACAGTTTGGACATCTCTGATGGCTTTAATCTGAGTACGATTAGAGAGTGTATCTGGATTTGCAGACTTTCCTGTGTGTGTTCATTTCCCTGCAGTCCTCTCTATGTTATGTTTAAGTCAGTTCTCAGTAAAGCAGGTTATATTAATGTTTAGTGCTTCTCGTAAGTGGGTATTTATATCATCATGGTCCTTCTCCCTCATGTGTATTGCAAAGCTGCTTTTTATCCTTTAACCTGTTATTTACCATATTTTGAAAAACAGTGGGACTGCATATGATGTCAGTATCAGAAGCCTAAGTAATTCCCAGTTGTTTAATAGGTTATTAAGTACACGGCTTCTGTTTTCTTTATGTAACCTGATTATTATGTGGAATAATTGACTGAGAAGACTGAAGGGCTTGGATAAATTTATTTATGCGTCAGTATTGAGCTACAAGGAAGCTAATAATGCACTCATTCCTATAATGAGCAAATGTTTAAGTTTTCTGGCTATAACATCTGCTCATTGCAGTGATATTGTGGTTGCTAGTAGAAGTTTCTGAGTACAATTTTTTTGTTTGTTTGTTTTTCATTCATCCCAGTCTATATTGCTGAAAGGCATTTTAAAAACTAGTATGTTAACTACCATGTTAACATGGTAGTAACTCCAGCATGCTAAGTATTGCAACCAGTGTTGAAGAACGGGAATTAATAGCCAGGTTGATATTTTTATAACCTTATAAAAGGATGTGAAGCCCTAGGTGCTAGAGAACATTAAGTAGGATTAGGCATCACTTTGGCAAACTCAAATGGCTTGACACAGGAGATCTACTTCCCCTTGCCATGGCAAACCTCTAGATTATTATTGTAGTGTTGGGACACTTACTATTGAAGGAAGGCTGAATTTTTATTTTTATTTTTAGTTTGAATGGTCCAGAGCAATGGTTCTCAGCCTTCCTAATGTTGACATCTTAATACAATTCCTCATGTTATAGTGACCCCCAACCATAATATTATTTCGTTGCTATATCATAGCTATAATTTTGCTGGTGTTATGAATTATAATGTAAATATCTGATATGTGACTCTGTGGGGGTCCTGACCCATAGATTATCATCCAAAAGATTTCTCCCTTTAAAAGTTTCCAAGATACATGACTCAGGACTCCTGTGGCCATTCTTTTTTTTTTTTTTTTTTTTTTCATCTACAATATTTATTTAAGGCAAATAAATGTTCTGTGTTGGTAAAATGAGGAGCTACGAGACACACAGGAAAGAAGATATTCAAGGTCCAAGGTCTGTTAAGTAGTATGTCAGGTTAAGAGGACTTTTAAAATCTTTTTTTTCTTAATTTAAATTAGAAACAAGCTTTTTTTTTAACATGTCAGTCTTAGTTCCCTCCTCCCCTGTCTCCCCCCCCCCCCACATCCCAACCTCTTTCTGCTCCCCAGGGAGGGTGAGGCCATTCATGGGGGATCTTCAAAGCCTGTCAATCATTTGGAGCAGGGCCCAGGCCCTTCCTCGTGTGTCTTGGCTAAGAGAGTATCCCTCTGTGGGATGGGCTCCCAAAGTGCATTCGTATACTAGGGGTAAATACTGATCCTCTTGTGCCATTCTTAAGGATATCTTGTAATTGGAATTTTTGTTTTGTGGCTGAAGAGGTCCTGGTTTGGTCTCGTAAGAAGGCTGAAATAGAACATGAAGCAAATTGCCATTTATCTCTCTTGATTTTGTTAAAAATTGGGCATCTCTGCTACCTCTTGTTTTCTAATTATAGCTATTGACCAACTTGGAAGTGAACATTTTCTGTGTTTAATTCCATAATTATAGTGACATAAACAGAACATTAGAAGAGCTAATTCCTGAAAGTATCATTTTTTAAAAAGATTTATTTATTGTTTTCTGTATAGTGTTTTGTTTGTATGTATGCCTGCAGGCCAGAAAAGGGCATCAGATCTCATTGCAGATGGTTGTGAGCCACCATGTGGGTGCTGGGAATTGAACTCAGGACCTCCGGAAGAGCAGCCAGTGTTCCTAACCTCTGAGCCATCTCTCCAGCCCCTTAAAATTATCATTTGTCACATTATCTTTTCTTCATATGTATTTATTTTTCTCATCTAGAGATATGTGTATATAGCTTTTTTGTTTATTATAATTTCTTGCAAAAAATTAAAAAAATAGACAATACCTATCATTTTGATTGAGCTTGCTGTATATACACCCTTGGTTTCACAGCATATAGGAAAATGGGTTATAGCTGATATTTCAATCCTTTGTGTCATACAGAATAAATATATAAAAGAGATTCCATTATTATGAAGAATTTAGGTTATCATTTAGCCTGTTATTAAGAGGTTTAGCCCACATCACTGGCTATTTAAATAGTATATTTTAACCATTTTATGTTTTGTTTAAGGGGAGTAACAATGGATGTTGGCATGACGAAGTTTGAAACCACAACCAAAGTTATTACATTAATGGATGCTCCGGGCCATAAGGATTTCATTCCCAACATGATCACTGGAGCAGCTCAGGTACCTGCTGTCTTAGCTGAGTGTGCCGCTCTGATTGTGCCTTCAGTCCTTGACAGCCACCCAACCTGCAATTATGGGTTATAATGGAAAGTTTTACTTTAAGAGGTTAGGGGAAAAAAAGAGATATATTGTATTTTTCGTGACCTGCTTATGTGTGTCATCTAAGCTTCTTGACATGTTACAGCTGCAGAGATATCAGAGGTATTTCTTGCTAAAATTAAAGTCTAGCATGGTAATGAACACTTTAAAGTAGAATTAAGGTAGAAAGAGTATTTGAGTAAATAAAAGATGAAAATAGTCTAAGTTGTCCCACCAGAGTACCCAAATGCTACTGTTTTGTTTTTTTTTTTTTTTTTTTTTTTTTTTTTTTTTAATTCTGGAACTTGCTGTGAGTTCAAACTAACCTAGAATTTTCTATGTAGCCCAGACTCACAATGTGACCTCAAACTTTGAGCTCTGTTTCTGCCTTCCCCATGCTGGGGTTATAAGTGTATGCTACCATGCTGAGCTTGTGGATACTAAGTATAATTTACATGATACGGTTCTGTGAAGAATATGGTATTATGTGTAGATTCTAGATTTTATGACCATTTCATCTCCCAATATGTATAGTAAGGATCGTATGATAATCTTCATGAAATCCTCTATAAACCAGACAGTACAGAAACAGCAGTAAAACCTGTCAAACAACTAAAAAGCTGTTGTGGATTGTACCAAGGGTCACTCTAGCCTGAGTATCTCTGAGGACAGTTACAACTCTAAGCAAAATCTGTTTAAGGGAAAATGAGTAGCATTCTTTGAAAATACCCAGACAGGACATTGACAGAAATAATTGCTAAGAATGGATCTGGAAGAGCAGTGATGGGGCATAGTTTTTTTTTTTTGGCAAAATTTTGTAAGCTACTTCCCCCAAGATAGGAGTAGAATTGCATAAAGAACGGTTAACCCAAGAGTTGTGGGAGCCAGAAGGCTGACAGGGGACATGAACTTTTTCTAATGGATGTGTATGAAAGGAGAAATGTCTAAGTCACAAGGTAAGAGTAGAGAACTTTGTGATATAGGGTTCCACTAGCTCATAAAAAAACAATGGGAAAACATTATTAATTATGAAAGCTTGGTTTTTTAGACTTGTCTCAACTCGCTCTTATAACTTAAATTAACCTGTTTATATTAATCTACATTCTGTCACGTGGCATTACTTCTCTTCCTCTTTCAACTCCTGTTTCCTCCCTGTGTCTGGCTGGCAACTCAGCCTTTTTTCTGTCTGCCCAGAAGTCCTGCCTATACCTCATTCCTTACTTGGTTGTGTTCAGCTTTTTATTACACCAGTCACAGCAATTCATCTTCATACAGCGTACAGATATCCCACAACAAGGTTCCATTTTAGTAGCTGCAGAAGATGAATGTGTGGTCTTTGGTAATTTGTGTCATAATTTTTCTTACTGTAGATGACATTCTGATATCTGAATATGTTTGGAGCAAAATGGTTTTTGTAAGATAAATTCCCACATGTGGAAGTAAAGTGGGCACAATTTTAGGGCTATTGATATTTACTTTCAAAATGTCCTTTGGGAGGTTGTATAGTCCCATACAAGAATACATCCCTGCTTCCTCCAGCAAATCATTTTGTTGTTTGTATCACTAACCCTGTGACATCTAAAAATAGGGTTTTGAAATATGTAGTTTTTATCTTCTTTTTAAAATGGGGGACCTTTAAATATAAACTTTTCGGCTGTTTGTATTTCTTGAGCAAACCCCTGGCTTATGTCTTACCTAATTTTCCGTGGAACTTTGAATTGCTTTTTCCCATCTTTTTTGGTAAAGGTGACACTTGAGATTATTTTCCATCTTTATGTTTTAATTTTGTTTATGTCCCCTTTCCCTCTTTGGCTGGGCATTTTAATTTTTATGTAGTCAGGTATAGACTTTCTTATTCTTTTTTATTATACATACATACATATATATATATATATATATATATATATATTTGTGTGCGTGTGCATGTGTACGTGCATGGCTGTGTGTGTATGCGTGACTGTGTGTGTGGCTGTGTGTGTGTGTTCATGGCTGTGTGTGTGCATATGTGTGTGTGTGTATGCGTGACTGTATATGTGTCTGTCTGTGACTGTGCATGGCTGTGTGTGTGTGTGTGTTTGTTGTGGTTATGTATATGTGGCTGTGTGTATGTGTCACTGTGTGTGTGTGGCTATGCCTGAGACACATCATTCATATGGAGGTCAGAGAACAACTTAAGGGAGTTCTCTCATGCCACTGTGTGGATGGAAGACACTGAACTCATCTAGTCAGGCTCAGCAACAAGTGGCTTTCTTTACTTGATGAGCCTCTAGTTCTTTCTGTCATTATTGTTGCTGTCATAAAGCTATATAATCGTTCCTGAATTTTTTAAAGCTGTCTGTGGTATTCTCCCATTTGCTTGGTGTTTGGTTTCAGGTTGGGGTCATGTTATAGCCAGCCTTTAAATCTGACCAAGTGCTAAATTGAGTACCTTTGCTTGAAAGGAGCATGCTTTGTTTTCACTCATGGTTCTCTCTCCTTCCTCAGGCTGATGTAGCTGTTTTAGTTGTGGATGCCAGCAGAGGAGAGTTTGAAGCTGGATTTGAGACTGGAGGACAGACCCGAGAGCATGGCCTGTTAGTCCGATCTCTTGGAGTGACACAGCTTGCTGTAGCTGTCAATAAAATGGATCAGGTAGCTAATGGCTCTGTGAGAATTTGTTTCAGATGTTGATTAGGTTGATATTCTGGGGCTGGAGAGATGGCTCTGGGGTTCAGAAGCATCTGTTGCTTTCAGAGGACCTGGGTTTGTTTCCCAGTACACACATGGTAGCTCTCCACCAGGAACAGGTATCTCCAATTCCAGGAATCCAACACTGTCTCCTGACTTCTACAGGCACTAGACACTCTGTGATACACATATATACACGAGGCAAAACATTCTTGCACATAAAATAACCTAATTTTAAAAGTGTAAATGGGTACTGTCATGCAAATGTAGATGCCCACAGAAGGAACTAGTGTGTATTTTATTAGTTGCCATATCAAGAAAAGCAAATTTGCTATCTTTTAATTAACTGAACATGATATTATTAATTTTAAGCAAGAATATCTTATTTTCAAAATCACTTTTTGGAATTTAATACTTTTCAATTACAAAACAATATGCAGCATTGTAAAATAAAAGTATAAAACTATTTCATTGTATATCCATCAATTTTATTTTTATAGATGAGTTTTAATTTTTTTTTTCTCTCCATCGCAACCATAGGATTATATGATTGCCTCCTTTGTAAAATGTTGACAACATTCCAGTGCATGTTTTCTTGGATAAAGAGTTTTTTTTATGGCTTTATTGTATGCTATGTTAATGATACGATTCATTCAAACAATTTAATTTTGAAGATTTCCAGTTGTTTTGTGGATGTATGGGAGTGACTATTTGGGCCTCAGGCCATATAACTTTTAAAACTTGCTAAATGGGGTGTGAGTGCCTTTGAGAAATGTGTTGATTATTTACTCTTGGCACATGTGGTGTATTTATGACCGTAAACTAGCAAATCAACTGTTATGAAAATTTTATTTTCTAATTTGATATACAGAACATATTTCATTTGTTAACTACATTGTTTTATGAATAGTAAAGATATTTAAGTATGTTTTTCCTTTGGAACTTATATGTATAGTTTACTCATTTTCCATTTTGTTATTTGGACATACAGATATGTATTTTACTCATTTTTATGTTTAAATATATTCTTCACCCTAGCTTCTGATCAATTTTCACTAGTATTCTCTGTTAGTTCTTCTAAAGCTTATTATTGCATGTAGTATTAATTTTTCTATAGCACTTTTGTATGAAAATTTCAAACGTGGAGAAAACTAGAAAGTTTTTTGGGTAAATAGTCATATTGTAACCACTACATGAGACTCTGGACTTTATTGCTTTCACTCCTCTCATGGTATGTGTTGTAATCTAAGAAAAGCAACACACGAGAGAGAGATGCCATGTGACAGGGTTCAAGCAGAGGGTTTTTATTAGGGAAGGGATCATAAAAAGGGAAGAGGGAAGACCATTCTCCGGAGACAGGAGCAGCAAGAGGAGAAAGGAAAGGGGGACAGTAGGGGGGGAGAGAGACACAAACAGAGAGAGGAAACGGGTCGCTGGGAGGTGGGCGGGGCCCTTTTACAAAGGGAACTTAGTGAGTGTGCACAGGTGGTGCTCTTAGTGGCTGCAGTTGAGGGCGTATCCTGTCAGAAGCCAAGGACAGGGCAATACAGGTGCCTGAATACTAACAGTATGTATTTGCACATAATTGTAGTCACTGGTATACATACACCTATATTCTGCATATGACCTAGAGTTGACATTCCATACTTGTTTAGTATGATTGGCTGAGGTGGGTGTCAGTACTTTTATTTTAATCTAATGTTTGATCAAAGCATGACTTAATAAATTACTTATCTCCAAATTCAAAATCACTTTTAGCATAACTAGTAGAGTCTAACAGTAAGAGGTTGTTTGCTTCCTGTTTGAGGAAAAGTTAATAGTTAATCTTGGGTCATATTAATGGTAAGATTTTTTTTTTTGAGTTTTAATTTTAATTTACATTTTATATATTTGGCTATGTACATGTTATTATAGAAATTCTGATTTTATGTGTCATTCTCATGCATAATTCTAAGTATAAATTGGATCTTTATCAGGTAAATTGGCAACAAGAAAGATTTCAAGAGATTACTGGAAAACTTGGCCACTTTCTTAAGCAAGCAGGTTTTAAGGTATGATAATTTTAAATTTGGTAATTTCCCTAAGTCACTTTACTGATATAAGAAAACAAGCTAATATATTAATATTCCTTTTTAGTCTTTATTTTTTTAATTTTTAATTAAACCATTTTATCATTTCCCCCACTCTTCTACTCCCTCCAGCTCTTCCAATACCCAACCCTCTTGTTCACTCTCAAATCACGGCCTGTTTTTCTTCAGTTGTTACTGTTTTAATATATATCATATATATGTGTGCATATATCATATATATATGCATAAATATGTAAATACAGCCTGCTGAGTCCCTTTAGTGTTGCTTGTATGTATATGATTTCAGGGCTAACTCTTTGGTACTGGTTAATCAATTAGGGGCTCATCCTCAGGGAAGACCACTTCCCTCTCTTAGCATTCCTTACTTGACTGTTCTTTGTCTAAGGGTGTATGTAGCCTTAGGCAAAGACTTACCCTTCCATGTTAGCATGTCTATTGGTTCTGTCATTGTTTACGTCTTGTTTTAGCATACATATTATTGGTTATCATGGATGTAATTTCCCTATCATTTCTAGGGATCGATCTTGTTCTTTGTCCTCTGGCTCTTTCTTGCAATCTTTCTGTCCCCTCGTCCACTGTGTTCCTTGAGCCTTAGGTGTGTGGGATTATGTTGTGGTGTTATCACTTGGAGCTAGGCACCCCACAGTTGTTCTCTTCTCTTGGGTCATTTGTAACTTTTGTAGTGGTCTCTATCTGCAGGACCGGGAAGCTTCTCTCATGAGGTTGAGAAGCTACAGTTATCTATGGATAAAAGAATAAGTATTTAGAATGCACTTAGGAAACGCTTAGTAAAGAGGCAAAGTAGGTTCTCCTCTAAGGTCCATAACCTTACTAGCCATGAGTGGTTGGGTAATTTTCCAAAACAGGCATGATTTCTTTCCTGTTAAGCAGGCCTTGAATCCAATTCTATTTCTGTTGGTTACAGCTAAGACATAAGTACTATGTTGCACCTTTAGGGTTATCTTCCCATGCTACTCATTGCTATGGTTCAGAGGTGTCTCAACTGGGTGGGATTGTTGATTGCATACCTCCTGGGAGAGCTTGCTAATCCACAGGGAGGAGGCTTTAAGGACAAATCCAGTTCAATTTCCCCTAGTCCTGTGTCTAAAGTGTGTGGTGTCTTCAGCAATAGGGTCTTACCTGCAACTTCTGAGAGACAACCAATGGCAACAGAAATACCCTATATTGCTTTGGAAATCTCTTAGACTCCCTTCACCAACAATTGAAAGTTTTTTATACCTAGTACTGGAGTTTTTGTTAGTTTATGGCTCTTAGGGTAGTATTATTGTCCCAAGTAACATAACTTCATTAAAACTATATGTATATACATACACTTACATGTTTTATATGTAATTTAAAAAATATAAAATTATACCTTATGGCTTATTCATAAATCCTTAGTGTTATTTATACCTATTCCTTCTGTATTGATATTATCTTGTTAAGTATGTTTAATTCTATTTTTTCTTTCTAGTTCCTTCTGGTACATATATATAATATATTCTTTAAAATGCCTGACTTTTAAAATGTGCATATATTGAGTATTTGGCCTGGGTTTTATATAAATAAGAGATTCCTTCCCACCTTCCACTTTAGATAGTTAAGGCATATTGATAGAAAAGAATTTACCTAGCAAAAACCTATAATGTGCCTACATCAGTGAGTAAATATGCTTTAATATTTAGAAGAAATTTCCCCCAAATAACTGCTTGGCTGGTTGCTGTTACCTTTTGAGAAGTCTGTTTCTGTTCATTTGCACACTTGACTCAGTCATAGTGATGATGAGTCTTTGCCTTTTCTGCTTATGGAATGCTCTAAGTAAGTTCCCACCTTCCATCTCGTTAATAGGAGAGTGACGTAGCTTTTATCCCTACGAGTGGTCTCAGTGGTGAAAATTTAATCACAAGATCACAGTCGAGTGAGCTCACCATGTGGTATAAAGGATCCTGTTTATTAGAACAAATTGGTATGTACACTGCTGCCACGCTGTTTTGATGCGCTATGAACTTGATATTAATTATTATTTAGAGTTCTTTATGAGAGACAGAATGTATATGAAAAAGCATAGAAACTAGGCTCTCAGTTTTGAAATCATGCGACTATTTAAAATAATACTCAGTGCTTTGAAGCTACATAATGAGATTAGATCTACCCTCCTTGTCTGAAAGACTAGTTAGAATTAAGTGATACATGGGAAATGCATAGGGCTTATAAATGTAAAGTTTATGAGTGACAGTCATTTGCTGTTAATATTTTAAAAATCAATTCTTTTTCTGGAAGAAGAGAGACAATGATGGGCACACTTGAGATAGTGGAAAAATAATTCTTTTTTTGTGTGTGTGTTTGCGGATCTTGGGAATCAAGCCAGACCCCGTGCAGGCTGGGCTCTTCTGCTGAACAATGTCCACAGCCCCATAATAAGATTAAACATTTGTCTTTTTTCTACCAGATTCCTTCAAGCCCCCTCAACGAGCCATTGACAAACCTTTTAGGTTATGTGTGTCAGATGTCTTCAAAGGTGAGTACTGCGCTGTAGACTGGCTGTCGGGCTGCCTGCCTCCTCTTGTTTTCCTGTTATACTGCTTTGGGTTCATCCCCTCTGCATGAATGTGAGGACGAGCAGTGAGCTTTTACTCTTAACTCACATGGCCCAGTCCTAGAGCCCCGAACACCCTTCAGTTTACACACCACTTCCCACTTCATGTTCACCTGCCAGGGGCAAAGAGACTTGTGATTTGGAAAATTCATCATTTCTTAACATTGAGAGTAAGGGACTATCGAGATGGCTCTCTCTCTCTGAAAAGGCACTTGCCACCAAGCCTGACAGCTAAGTTCGATCCCTTGGTCCCACATCAACCCCTGAAGGTTTTCTGACCTTCACACAGTTGCACTGCAGTGATTGAACATACACATTCAGACACACTAAACACGTACTTTTAAAATTAGTAAAATGCATTTATATTTTAAGATCCTGATTGGCACCCGTGTCTGCCTGTGGTTCCATGCTTTAGTGTTCCTTCCTTCCTTTGCCTGTTTCCTACCCTCCTGTGTCAGTCTGGGGAAGACAGAGTATCACATAGACAACGGGGGCAGTTTAATATGAGAAATCAGAACCATTAACTGTGACAAAAGACTAGTGATTAAGATACCAGGAAACCTTGTACTCTAGAGCTAAGGGGGGCAAAGATTCAGACCAATGGAGAAGGTGCTATACTAACTACCTGAGAATGTGTCTAACTTAAAAATACGTATAAACTATCTAGAAAACTGTAGAAAGATGGTAGAATGAAAGATGTAAACCAAAGTATATAATATTGCTAGATTGGAATAATTGTTATTATAAAGATGTCAGTTATCCATTATCACACAGAAAATAAAGAGTGTATTGGCACTGACAAACTTTACACTGATTAGTGTGCTCATCCACACAGGTACCCACTAACATTCCCTATCTCCAGCCCTGCACTGGTATCCATTGTTAGTGTTTTCTCTGCCATTTATTTTGTGAACCTTTGAAGGCAAGCAGAGTCTTAGGCACCTGCAACATCTAGTCCGGTACCCAGCACAAGGTACATTTAGTGAATGAACATCAGGGATGGGATGGAATTGAAATACAGTCATGACTAGTCGGCTGAGAGGTGTGGTGGAGGGAACACGGTTATTCTCTTGAAATGCCCAGTGTCTGTGTGGAACACCCACCAGAAGCAGGTGCTTTCCTGTAGCTGATGTTTGATGAGCCCCTGCTCTCTCTCTGGCTTTCTGGGCAGCTTCCCAGCTTCTGCCTTGCTTGTTCCCTTTAGCGTAGCGTGCTGAGGTCACACACGCACACACACATTCTCTAGTTCTGACTCCTGCCGTACTCAAATTTGCATTCCTTTTGATGATGGTTGTTGTCTTAGCTATCATGAGACTTTTTTCTTCCTGGTTTTTTTGACCCACTTTCTCTTGCCACCTCATTTTTGTGACCTGCCTCCTGGGTGTGTGGGCTTCATTTCCAGATTCTGAAATAGTGTTCTCATGCTTCATTTCTCTTATTCTGCATGCTTTTCATGAAGTATGTCTGTAATTTCCCCTACTGCCCACACTTTTTGATGCTTCCCATATTTATGTGTCTAACCTGAGCCTGGAATCTCAGCCTCAGAACAGAGATTGTAGGTAGGCCACCTGAATATCACAGACATTTGAAGTTAACCAAAGCTATTAGCATCTTATTCCTTAGTTCTCTGCCTCCTACCCTCTCTCCCTCCAGAGCCTTGCATGTTGTGGGCCAGTGCTGGGCAGTAAGCTGCACCCCAGTGTGCCCCTGTGGACTCTTAGGCACACAGTTTTTCTGTTTATTTTAAATTGTGTTTTTGGCCCTTGAGTTCACTTGCTTTTGTCTTTCTTTACTGGGCTAAGTTTCTTATGGAAAATGGTCTGTTTCGAATAGTCTTATTTGCAAGAAAAACTGGAATGTGAATATTTAGTAGAGGTATTAAAATTTTTAACTTGACCATTGCTTGGTGTTTAATTCCTGGCCTTTTGTAACTGTGTAGGAAAGAAATATCACAATATTAATTATCAGCTAACATTACTACATGCTTCATGTGATGTTGGTATGTTTTGCAGATCAAGGATCTGGCTTTTGTGTGACTGGTAAAATTGAAGCTGGTTATATCCAAACTGGAGACCGACTGTTAGCAATGCCACCCAATGAAACTTGTACTGCAAAAGGTATGAGCAGTGTACAGCATGCTTTTGCTAACAGGTCTGAGACAGCAGGTTTCTTCTTCAGTAGTTTGGTTAAAACTCCGGAGTAAATATCCTCTTACTGAAATTGTGACTCACTGTCAAAATGATACTGACTGTTGAACACTAAAACATGAAAACATTAAACGATTTCTTTTCTGTTGTGGCACATGGCAGTGTGTACATATAACACTCTGACCCTGGCAGTATTCTGTTTTGGTCACTGAGTCATAACATCTGCTTTAAGACTGAGCCAGCTGTATATATACCAGACAGATACTTACAAAATTATAATTTGTAGAAGAAATTAAAGAATCCAGCCTGATAGTATAGCTAGTCAGTAGCAGGTAGCTTGTCACCATGGAATCCGTATTTCGGAATCAGTTAACAGCTTTGATCATGTTTGTACCTATTCTTGATACCTTTGATTTCACCCCTCCATGTTTAAGGTAAATATAGGAAGACATAAGTAAGAGGCCAACACAGAAAAACTTAGTATTAAGGAGAAATTGAGCTGACTGAAGTTACCAGCTCCACTGCTTTTTCAGAGGTGTGCGTTTTGTTCAGTGCCGATGATTGTTGATAACTGTTTCCGCCTAAGGTTTGCCTTTCGTGTGTATGCTCTTATCTAAATTTAGCTTATGAAGTTCTCACTTCTACTTAACCTGAACCTGACTTCTAGCGAATCTGTGACTTCTGAGTAAAATGGAAGATGTTTTACAATAGAATAATATCACTTATAGCAAGTGTAAGCTGAAGTATATATATATATATATATATATATATACACACACCCTAATGGAAATGTTAGCATTTGAGTATACCCTCTATTGCTCATTTAGTTTGTGTTCATAGTTGTACTTGGCAAGTTTATGAATTTGAATGTACGTTTTTAAAACTTTCAGTTTTAAACATCTCCTGACACTATGTGCCCTTCTCCTCCTCCCTCCACTCCCTCAGGTGGTAGAGACTGAACCCAGACACCTGCTAGGTAGAGATGCCACTGAGTCACATGCTCTTGCTATGTAGTCTTGCTATGCAGCTCAGGATAGCTCTGTAGGCTGGCCTTCCTGCCATAGCCTCTCAAGTGCTGAGAGCCCATGTATGAGCCACCACCAGTATTTTAAGAAATTGATAAATATCTTTTTAGGTCATATGCACAACCTATATTTAAGGGTTTTATGGGAATGGCAAAATCTGTTTCAGTTTGATCCTGTTCTTCTTGCCAGCCAGAGACCATGGCATGTCTGGGTAGGTGAAAAATAATATGTACTCTACGAAGATCCACTTTCCATAACTCTGGTGTTTCAAGTGCAGCTCTCTGCTTCTGCTCTTGAGGCGAATAAGACCTGCAGCACTGGATGCAGAGGTGGCTTTCCATGCCCGTAGGAAGAACCGAGTGCAGTTCCTAGAGCCCACGTGGCAGAGGCTGGCATGGGCACTTGGAATCCTTGCCCTGAGAGGCAGGCAGGTCGCCTCTGGCTTTCGCTGCAGTTAAACTGCTCAGCAAAGTCCTGCCTCAAAACAAAACAACCGAACAGCATGAGATTGTTGGTGCTTGAGGAACACCACCTGAGCTTGACCTTTGTTCTCCATGTGCTCATGTGTGTATCTCTCTCTCTCAAGAATGGAAACACTTTGGAAATACTAATTTCTGGCAGCTAATGAGCTTTTTTAGAATAAACTAAAAACAGGATTATTTTGCATAAGCAGCAGCTGAGGGTTAAAAACATGGTTCTAAAATGACCACAGGCCTTAACATTGAGTCCCTGTGGTCATCTACGAGACCATGTTCCTTCCTGCTGTGTGCTCCTCCTCCACATGGAGCTCTGAGCATCCCCTCTAGTCGACGGTTCTTCAGAGGTTCAGAGGCGCTTCTGCCGAGTCTTGCCTGGTCCTGGGCAGTCCCAGCCCTCGGCTCTGCCCGCTGCTTTTGCTAGGTATGCCAGGTGGATCTGTGTGCTCTTTGCTGTAAATACACAGGTACACCTGTGTTACTCTGAGAACTGAGGCCTGACTGCTATCAGGAAGCAATTCCAAGACAGCAAATTTAAATGTAGTGGCTGTGCCTGTAATTCCAGGCTTTGGGAAGTGGAGGAGGGAGGGGTACAATTACTTCAGGGCCATTTTAGACCACGTTGTGAGTTAGTTAGTGGACAGCCTGGGATGCCTGAAAAAAACTAAAACAAAACATATCAAGTGTCTGGAGTATTAAAAGAAAGCCTCCTTTTGTAATGTTTGACCAAGGAGAAACCTTTAGAAAATAGATATGGGTTAGTAACATGGTTGGGAGAAAAAAAGAGACATTGTAAGTAGTTTGGAAAATTGGTCAATAAATATGAAAAGGCCTTTAAAAATCTTAAGCCAAAGGCAGTCTCTAGACCAACTACCTCATATTTTCGTCCCCATTTCCTAGTAGATATAAATATGGCCATTTTTAATTATATTTAAAAATTAAATGTCAGCTGGGCAGTGGTGGTGCATGTCTTTAATCCCAGCACTTGGGAGGCAGAGATAGGTGAATCTTTGTGAGTTCAAGGCCAGCGTGGTCTACAGAGCTACACAGAGATACTCTGTCTTGAAAAAGTTAAAAAAAAAAAATTTAATGTTGATATTTGGCTGACATTTAAATCAGTCAGTTTTGTATTTAAATTTGCAATTTAAATTACTAATTTTTGAAGTGAAGGGTGCTGTTTTAAAAGAGTTTGTGAGTAAAGGGGGGAAAGTAGAGTTTTATAAGTAAATGAGTTATATATAATTTGTTAAACATATGTCAGTCCAGAACAGTTCTACCATGACTGGCCTACACACTGTCTTTATTGGAAGGCACAACTTCCAGTGAAAATTAATTTAACCTATAGCTCTAACCCATCAAATAAAATAACACAGGATTTTTTTCAAAAGCCATGTAATAAGGAAGCTAAATACTGCCCTCAGGATTTGCTCTGCAGGACTGTTTTGAGGTGACAGGTGTGTGTGTGTGTGTGTGTGTGTGTGTGTGTGTGTGTGTGTGTGTGTGTGTGTGGTGTGGTGATTTTTAAGTTAAATTTTGTTGCTGTTTTCTTAATCTGTGTCTCCTGTAGCAACTCATGGTATACAAACACTCTGAGAAGAAGTTAACTTTGAACAGGGATAGCTAAGGGCTAGATGAGAGGACACTCAGCCTCTGATTGAACACACTTCCTTCAGAGCTCCCCTGGAACACTGGTCATTCTCTGATTGAAAACAAAGTTTGCCCAGTCTGAAGGGACACATCTACAGTCCCAGAATCCAGGCAGGAAGATCATAGAGGTCAAGGCCAGCCTAGGCTATGCCTTGGGACTTTCTTGTGGGGTGGAGGATGAAATGAAGGGCAGGACAGGTCAAGAGAATAAAATACTACCAGCCACCTTTGCCAGTCCAGTGTTTTATGTTTTTAGGAGTAATTTAATAGTTTGGGCTATTTAACTGTGCCTACACCCATTAATATAGCAGCAGTATTTGAATGAAGTCTATTGGGAGACTATTGCTTCATCGTGGAAATGAGTTTGAAATATTTGATTAAATGGCAAGGAAGCAGCTTCCTGTGGGCAAACACCAGCCACCGTGGTTAGGGTGGTGCTCTAGAGCATCAAGTCTATAGAGGAACTGTGCTCCCTCCACACGTGGTCCACGTCTCACTCCTCACCCATTCAAATCGAAAATGATGAGTACAGTGATGAACCCCCCCCCCCAAGGCTCTGGGCTGTCAAGGCCCCGTGCAGAGGTGTTTCAATGTAGGCTTTGGTTTTTACTCATTTCCAGGAATCACTCTGCATGATGAACCTGTTGATTGGGCAGCAGCGGGTGATCACGTTAGTCTTACTTTGGTTGGGATGGATATCATCAAAATCAAGTGAGTAAGAAAGCATGTTTAAACAGCCTTTGCGTCAGATAAAGGACGTCAGGGTACATGGGCTTTGCAATCCACTAATTCTGTTTGAGCCAGAATTTTATTTGGCCAAATATAATTTCAGCAAATGCCATCTAAAGTAAATGGAGTTACTTCATGTTGACACACAAAATTACCCTGTGCTTAGCTTGAAAGCTACAATGCATGAATCTGTGCTTGAGTGTGGGGGTGGGGTGTCCTTAGAAAACATTCCTCTTTGCTTAATTATTTGTTTCTTTCCAACTGACCTTTTTCATGTTCATTCATTCATATTCTTGTTGTCCGTTATAGTGTTGGTTGTATATTTTGTGGCCCCAAAGAACCTATTAAGGCTTGCACTCGCTTCAGAGCCCGGATCCTCATCTTCAATATTGAAGTTCCTATCACTAAAGGATTTCCTGTAAGTTTTCTATGTGTGGTCCTTGCTTCTGTGAACTTGGGGAAGTTCTAACTCATCTTAAAATGTGCCGATTGTTTCAAAGGAACACCTTTTCTAATTTAGAAAGATAAGTTAGAATTTTAAAGTGCTTTTTTTTTGTTTCTTATTTTCATTCTTTTAAAAAGTATATTCTATTATTTATTTTCTGTGTATGGGTACTTGTTCACGTGTTTGTCTGCACACCATGTGTGCCCACAGAGGCCAAAAAGAGCATCAGATCCTCTGGTAGTGAGTTATTGGCAGTTGTGGGAATCAAACCAGGTCCTTTGGAAAAGCAGCCAGTGTCTGTAACCCCTGAGGCACCTCTTCAGCCCTTATTTTTATTTCTGGGTCTGAGAACTTTTTCAAGAGAAGATATTTTCATAATCAGTTGATTCAATCTGATGATAATATAGTTTTTCTGGGGAAAATGATAGGCTTTTTACTGGGTAGGAAAGCTTACCTAGCATCTTAAATTTAGGTGCTTCTGTTTTGTTTAATATACTCATTTTCGGTATTTCTCAGTATAAAGGTGATAGATTAGCTTAAAAGGTTAGCAAGCCATGCAAATACAGAGAATAGGAATGCCGTTTGCTTAATCCATAGACGTCTGCTGTTTTAACTTCATGTTTTCTTGCTCACATACTATGCACCTGACATGTGTGCACACTGAGATTTTAGGTCTGTCCTGAGCTCTCATCACATTGATGAGCTCTGACCATGCATGATAAGACTGCTCCACAGGGCAGGATCAGCTCAAGCCCACTTCACAGGGATGAGGGGTTTTGATAGTGTTTCTAATCCCAGGAAAATACTACTTGTGGATTTCTCATTTCATGTATAATTTTCTTCTCATAGACTTTAGAACTCTCATGTAATTCCCTGCATTTATAACTTGACAGGCCACTCCTTTCTAATCAGATCATATAGTACAGACACTTTGTAACACAAAAAGTATGTTTTGAGGCTGGAGAGATGGCTCAGTGGTTAAGAGCATTGACTGCTCTTCCAGAGGACCGGGGTTCAAATCCCAGCGTCCACATGGCAGCTTACAGTTGTCTGTCACTCCAGTTCCAGGGGACCTGACACCCATGGCAAAACACCAATGCACATAAAATAAATAATTTTTTTTTAAAAGTGTGTCTCAGTGAATTTGAATACTTTCCTTTGAAGGCAAAAGTCACTTTCCCTGTGCAATGTTCTTGTTTTTATAAATTCTGGAAAGCTGTTACTCACATAAATACACACTATTTGTTTCAATTTGGCATCTTATTCTGATCTAGAAAGATAACACAGCCAGAATTTATTATCGTTTTAAAAAATGTTTCACCAAAAGAATTGTTATAGTTGAAATATTTCATTATTAACCATTTTGGATTAGCAAGTAGGCTCCGGTCAAATGCTTTAGAATGAATGGAACTGATTCCTAGAAAGCAGGGGAGTTGTTGTAGCCCATGTTTACATACACAATAATTAGTATTTGCCAATGGAGAGGTGTCAAGAGGGGAATGCTTGCTTTGAATAGTACCACTGTCTTCTTGTCTATACTGGTTTCTTAAAAATAAGCATCAAATGAAGCTTTTCAGCTGCTCTAAGAGACGCTCCTGCATATCAGGATAAACTGTGATCAGGAAAATTAGCCATATCTACCCACTGTGGTAGAAACAAAACTAAGACATGCCTTCTTAAACATTTAACATTTACTAATTATCACTTAATTCTGCCAGTACTACATACAGAGGTAGTGTGAATTTCCCTTAATTGTTATAGGAGCTGTACATTTTTAAAGAAGAAATTGTAAGGTTGAGTAAATTTTAATTCATATTTTATTTGTATTGTTGTTACTGTATCTAAGAAAATATACACTGTAAAGTGTAATTCATTATATCCAGTATTGATAACCATCACTGCCATTTATCTCAAGAGCATTATCACCCCAAACCAATCCTGCAGCCATTGTTCTGAGTAGAATTGAAAAGTATATTCTATGTAGCAGTTGTCTTCTTACTCTTAGTGTCCTACAATAAAAAGAGTAATAACTTTGTAATTTTGGAGAAATCCAGTTTATTTTTCTTAACTGTACATTTGGTGTCATGTCCATGAGCTCAGGGCCAAAGCCAACATCCCAAAGCTTTTTCCTAGGCATTCTTTTAGAGCCTTCAAGTTTACCTTGTATGTTTAGGTCACCAGTTAACTTGTAGTTAGTTTCATATGGGATGTTGGGTAAAGCTACATTGTTATTCATTTATATCTGCTCATCCAGTTTCCTAGCTGCATCTGCCCAGAAAGAGTCTGTTATAATCCCAGCCTGTTATAACCAATGTAGGCACCTTTGTTGACTATCAAATGATCATATATGTTCATTGGTATTTTTAGTAGCCTACTTAAGGAAATGTACTTATTTTGTTGCCTAACATAGCTTCATGAAACACAATTTGGTTCTCACAATTATCCATGAAGCCAAGTTCAATCCCTGATATCCTTAGACAGATGTATTTCAGATTTCAGAAATGTTACTGCACACATACTACACCCAACATAGTTTCTCTGTTCCAAAACTTGTTAATGTTAGTAGCATGTGAAATAACACAGGAATTGCCTCACAGTTTGGAGAAATGTTTTGAGTCTTCAGGATTGTGAGGAAGAGATTGTGAACCTTGTTAGTCCACATTTACAGACCGAGTCTTGTGAGGTTGTGACTAGGTGAATAGTGACAGTTAAGCCAGGACCCATTTTTCATCGCTTTCAACATGATGCACTTTACCATTGACTCAGTGCTGCCAATGTTTTAGGTTACGAATTTGATTTTATATATCGTATTAATGTTTTAGATTATAAATGAATTTGATTTTATACATAACATTAAGGCATCAAGATATTACACAGTAAATTTTCTCGATTGTAAATAAAGTGTTTCACTTATATTTAACAGGTTTTTTAATTAATATATGACACTGTGGAGAGAGAAGGAAAAATCAAATGTAGCCCCGTATTTCCACAAACCATTTGTTAGCCCTGGTGTTACAGCTTAGCAAAGAGTAGAAGGAATTCAGTGGAGTTCTTGTGCTATGAAGACCTAGTCAGGTGTGCCATGAGTGTAGGTTATCTTTGGGCCTGAAGAGATGTTTCTTATATACTTAGCCTTGCTTTTATATTACAGTGTACAGTTTAAGGCCCGGAGCCATTGAATATGGAATTGCTTCTCATCACTATAGCATGCTGTGACATTCTTTTGCTTGGGACTTACTTATTTTTGAAATCTTTGCATTTCATATTGTAGAATTCTATTGAAAAAGAAAACCAGGTTAGCTTTTTGGAGCCCAGGAGTTTGAGTGTGCTATTACTGTTTTTTTATATGGCTTTTAGAAAGTTCTCAAAGTCTAGGTTTGCACATCCCCACCCCCTTGCAGGTCTTTCTTTTCTCCCTTCCACTCTTCTTTGGTGATAGGGCCCATGACCTAGTGCATGCTGTGCAAGCATCCTGCCACTGAGCTACATCCCTGGTGTGCTTTTCTCTTTTCTCCAGGTTACAGCAAACTGTTGTGGTTAGGAATTCCAAATAGGAGGTGTCTTCTACAACCAAATGGCACAAAATGATGCTCAAAAACCATTTATAGCAGGGCAGCTTTACCGCTTCCTGGGACTGTGGTCTGCTGCCCTCACACTGTAGACATACAGGTAGCACACTCAAAGTTTATTATTTGAATAAGAATAGTCAGTCTGCATTCTGATTTTGATTGGCATCTACCAGCTACCCCCTTTTTCTTCATAAAAGCTTCTTTTCTAAAGCAGAAGATAGTGTCTGTGATTTCCACAGGACTCTTTGTAGCCAACATGGGAAGAGCCAGTGATTTTTAGCTTCAACTGATTGAGGTGTGCAATTCAAGCTTCCATGTAGCTCCATGACCACATTACATGACAGGACTTTCTGCCATGTCCCTTCCTTGTGAAAACATAGTTGACAGTACTTAGTATATGACCAGGTGAGGGCAGGAGTGTTCAGGATGGGGCAGCCATAGATAGTGTGATATACCAAGTCATCAGTTATCTGGATGTTTCCCCATGTGCTGGGTACTGCTAATACCAAGTGACATCTGAGCATCCTCATTTTAGTGGATGGAAATTCAGTTAGGGACTTTGCAGGTAGATAATAAGGTAAGGATCTTGGCCCAGGTAAAAGTGATTTGAACCTATATCTATTAGATTTTAAACCTGATCTAATCTTTTATATAAATAAATCTACTACCTGCCACATAGTGCTTAGTACTCAGGGATGCCTATAAATGTTGCTTTCCTCCTTTATCTCTGTATATGAGAGCTTTTATTCTTTTGGCCCAAGAACAGATGTTGTGATCACTGCTGAACATGATGGAGCCCCCTCCCTCATTCATGATAAAACTGTTCACTTGATGAACATCTGTGCTTCCAAGCATTTTCTCTCATCCTATTTATTTCTCATCACAATGCTATGGAAGTCCATTTTACCACTAAGGAAACTAATCTATAGACAGACGAAAGTCTTGGAATTCAGGCTTAGATTCTTTCTCTTACTGCTCCCTGCTCCTGGTGATGCAGCCTTGGTGGTAAGGTTGTAAACAATAGCTGCTTTTAACCTTCACAACAATCCCAAGGCACTGTTCTCTTGGCTTATACAGAGGAAATGGGAATCAGGAAGACTCTGCAGCCTACTGAGGTTCACACTGGACGCAGAGTAGAAATTTGAAGGAGCACCTCATTTGTGTGGGACCAGGTGGGCCCCTGCTGGAGAGTCTTTAGGAAGTGACTGTAGCCACAATGATGGATTGAGTGTAACTAATCATTTGCCAAAAGGAAGGGCTGCAACTACTGTCGCAAATAGTTTTCAGTATTACCTGCTTTTGTTTGCTTCAGGTGCTGTTACACTACCAAACCATCAGTGAGCCTGCTACTATTAAGCGATTGATTAGTGTCTTAAACAAAAGTACTGGTGAAGTCACAAAGAAAAAGCCCAAGTAAGTGAGTGCTTTAATGCAGAGATCTTAAACACTAACAGTGTAAGCAGATTCCTTACAGATAAGCTCATGTGTGTACTGAGGTAAGTGGAATCCATTTTACCTTTTCTACTGTGTGTGTGTGTGTGTGTGTGTACACATTTAGCGGATGAAGAGATAGCTTAGTTGGTAAAGTGTGTGCTATGCTAGAATGAGGACCTGAGTATGAGGACCTGAGTATGATCCTCAGAACCCATGGGACAAAAAGCTAGGTGACCTGGGACCTACTTGTAATGGCAGCATCCAGGAGGCAGAGCCAAGTGGATCCCTGAACTTCACTGGCTTACCAGGCTAGCATAATTGGCACGTTCATAGAGATCATGTCAAAGTACAGGATGAACAGTGCCTGAGGATGTCATCCCAGGCTGACCTTCGCCTTCCCATACATGAATACTCATGTGTATATTCACCTACACATACATGTGCAATCATACAAACACCTACATAAATGTCTAAGCTTTAGTTTGGAAATAAATGCTAGATATGATTAAAATGGTATATGGTGGTGATGTGAATTATAAATAAGAATATGAGCCACAGATATTGATAGATCAAAGATATTCCAAAAGCTAGTCCTATGTTCTTAGAGATGGATTTTAACTTGTCAGCCACTTGTTCTGAGTTTCAGCCTTGTGCTTTCCTTACATTTGTCCCTGCTCAGTGAGCTTGATCCCTAGCCTAAGAAGAATGTCTCCGCATGTTTTCTAGCTCCTTATTTTTTCTACCCTGTGATGTAACTGTGTTCTCGTCCACATGATCTTAAACTGAGGTGACTACTATCGTGTTGGTTTTCTGATTATACTTAGTCTCCAAGCTGAGGTCTGGGCAGCTCTTCTTTGCCTGATACAGAAACTATGTATACTGTAAATAAAAATAAAATAATGCAAGAGCATATGGAAAACTCAGACTCTTACTTGGTGCAGGTTAAAGGGTATCCTAGTTTGGTTTGGCTGCCTGCACTTTGGGGTTTCCCTCATCTTGAGCCCTATGGGGAATCCCACCCAAAATCCCCTTCTTTGCCCTTGAGTATTTCTCACCTTTTGCACCTGTGTAAGAGGCCCAGGAGGCCTAATGGGTTAATGGGCTGAGTGCCAGGGAAGGGAACTGAAGGCAGTCTGGTCCTCAGGAGGGAAGGGCTGCCTGCATGTCTCCTGGAGGAGATGCTGAGCAGGAGTTTCTGAGCTCCTCACATCCGGGTTTGCCATGATGCCTGGGAAACACTGCAAAACTGTAAGGGTGGCATTGCTCAAGGTCCATGTTTTCTGGGCTCTGTCATGAGTCTGTCATGATGTATGCCTCAGCAATCACACAAAGCAGCATAGTGACACAAAGCTTGCAAGTGGCAGTAAGATGTGGGATTCTAACCGATCCAGTGACTTCTATAAATGCTCCTCTAAGTGCGATTGTTTGTGCCTGGGTTGTATGGCAGTTATTTGGAGCACTTAAATGGGCCCATCATATCTAATCTTGAAATTTCCCTCCCTGCGCCTGCTACAGAGTTGTAGTGTAATATACCCAGCATGTATGATTAAGAGTTAGTATCCTGATAATATTGAGCTAGATTTCTTCAGGGAAGGTAGGGAAGCATTGATCAGGATGGGTGTTTGAGCATTTAGGGGATAGGATGTAGTGGGCCTACCTACCCTCATTCCTTTTAGCCCGGGGTGGGGGTCGGGGGGGAATCAAAGGCATATGCTTGCATTGAAAACATAAACACATGCAGCTTTTTCTCATGGATTTGGAACTCTGGGTTGATTTGCTGGTTGGATGTGAACTCCTTTTTCAGGTGCTCCCTCATCTGTATTGCGTACCCATTTGTTCTGTCTTTGTCCTTCCACTGTTAACAGGCTGCTGAGCAAGGGCCAGAACGCATTGGTAGAGCTGCAGACACAGAGACCAGTGGCCCTGGAGCTCTACAAAGACTTCAAGGAGCTGGGGAGGTTTATGCTGCGGTATGGTGGCTCCACAATAGCTGCTGGTGTTGTCACTGAGGTATTTTGAAGCCACTGACTGTGTCCATAGTTAATCTTGTCATTTTCACCTTTCAGGGTGATTACAGAGATTTTATGGCTTAAGGGAGCACACAATATTGGAATAAGAAATTAAAATTTATATTAAAATAGTTCCTAAATATGAGAGGAGAAAAGTATCAGATATGGGGGTCAGATAAATTGAGAGTTCTGGTTTTGTTTAATAAAAGAAGCTGTGTTACTTTTCTTTAAATTAGTGGCTTTTTAGTGTATTTTAAATAAATCGTTCAGAAAATTGAATTAATGTAGTTATAACATTTTCTTAAACATAACTTTTATATATGATAAAGTGCAGTGACATTTTAAAGGAAATAGCCAGAACTGAACTGGGAAATTCCAGGAGCTTGGATTTTCTTCCATAATTCCATAACTAATATGAATATTTTATATGAAAAAACAAGTAAGTAGTGTGACAGGGGAAGGGGAAAGAATGGAGGAAAAAGCTTATTTCACTGTCCCTTGCTTTTGTTATTCTTGTAAAGTGTTTACAGTGATAGTGGTACTTTTTACTTTGTTTTGCAGATAAAAGAGTGATGGGTCCACCATGTTTCCAAATGCGGTGAGACAGTCGGCCACAGAGGCATCCAGTGGTGCGGAGATGGAAACAGTGTGCAGTTGATGTTTTGTAGATGAGAGAAACTAAAGCTATAATTAGCTGCCAAGAAGTATTAATAATCACTCCTGTAAAAATTTCGAGTTGCCAAGTGACAAAGAAAGGCCCATATTGTACTTCCGTTTCAAAAGCAGTTTTTCCCTGTGGGGTGGTAGTAAATGCATCTGTTTTCCCGAGGTTGTGAGGGTTATCCAAAGACACTTAAATCATCATGAAATGGACTCAGCTTCCAGCCAAACCAAAACCATGTTTGTTTTCTGTTTTCATGCTCCTGCTCCATGCATGTTCCAAGGAAGGGTATCTAATTGGGGCTTTTGATGTAGTCAGTCTTTGACCTGGTGCTTTTTTTAGTTAACACTAAGAAAAGATTTACTGACAGTAATAGTAAAGCTATTCTGTGTTGAAAAAAGAAAACGTCCTCACGTTCAACAAGTCTACCTTCAGAAGTGTGATTGGAAGTGACTGAAAGCTGTTCTTAGGTCACTAAGATATTATTTAAGTTGAAAAGCCAGCTAATAAAAGGCCTTAGTTTAAGCATATTGCAAAAAAATGTGTTTTATTTCTTAAACATTTATGATGGAGTCTACCCCATCACCGGATGAGGCCCAGGCACTGTGTGGGATCTTTTCACCTAAGGATTTTCTAACTAACATGAATTTTGCTTTTTATGCTAATGGTAACTCAAGTTTAGTCTTAGCCATTTTAACTGTACCTTGGGTTTCCTGTTGTTTGGAATTGATTACTGACCATATCTGGTCTTCCCTGCTGCCAGGCTTTGCTCCCTATGAAGAAGACTTGGGCTTTTCTTCAATGTTTCAATAACAAACTTGAAGGTTTAGGATTTATTGGACCATTTCCTGAGTCCAACAAAATTTGGGTTAGCTGTTTGTCCCTAGCTGAGCCTGGGATTGAACAACTCCCTATTATAGACTTCAGAAATTAGAAAAGGCACAGTAGCGTTGGACTTACAAATTCAGTAGCTCCTTTTTTCTTGCTTTCTTTTTAATTTATTTTCCTGGGTTTTGCGAGATTTTTTTTTCTTTTTATTTTTTTAGTCCTCTTGGTCCTGGAATTCCAGGTTTATACCACCCCACCTGGCTCCTGCTGCATAAAGAATAGCATCCACATAGCCAGATCCCCAAATGTGCTGCTGGATGGGGTTCCTAGGTGACTTCATTCAGACCATCTTTCTTTAATATCTATGTAGCCATCAGTTGAGATGAAACTTGCTAAGACCAGAGTGTTCCATTCATGTTACTCAGAAGCTTTATAGATACTTACAATTTAAAAAAAAAAAAAAAAAAAAAAAAAAAGACCTTAATTTGACTTGAGTGACAAGACTTTCTGACTCACTTAATTGAAGCAGAGGTAATCCTAGTTTTGAATTAGCCCAGTAGGGACACTTTCCGTCACCATGCCAGGTCCCAGTCCTATTGCCCTGCTTGGGAGTTTGTTTGCCCCTGAGACCCATAGACTCTTCTGAGGTACCAGGCTGTAGACAGGATGCAGTGGTTCTACACTGTGTTCTCAAACCCTCCATTCTGGAAGGACAGGCCAGAAGACAGTGTTTTGGGGAAGCCCCAGAGCCATTGACCATGATTGGAATTTTCCCTGGGACTTGTTCCTAGCAGTGTGAAGTGACTCAAAGCAGAGCTGAGGGTTGTGGGGTATTGAAATTCTGGGTGCTACTAAGAAGTGGTTTGATAAACATCCCGTTCATTTATTATAGAGGAGCATGATAAAATTAACACTAAGAGTTTATTGTAAGTATGAAGTAATCAAATGGAGGGGCTTAATGACTTTCCTCTTTTGAAAATTATAAGTGTTCATCAGAGCACCCTGGCCCATCGCTGAGTACCAGAGAAAGCACCTTGAAATGTAAATTAGTGGTGTAAATACAGTTGTAAAGTAGAATTTAAAAGAACATATTGAAATAAGTGTTCTGATTGCAATTATAGAGATGTATTATGACCACATTATTTTGTTATTGACAACCATAACAAGTTTTAAGACTATTTTGGGTAACCTCTTAACTGAATTAATTAATTAAGAAGCAAACAGATGTAGTGAGCCTTGAAAAAGATCATGAATTCAAGTCTGGCTTAAATTATATAGCGTGACACTTACTCCACCCCAAAAAATTCATAATGAAAATTTATTAAATGACATAATTATAGATGTTTGAATTTTCACACTACCTTTCAGACTATGTGACCAAATTTGTAGAGGAATCCCAGACGGAAGTAAAAAGAATGACCGTACAAGCAGAGAGAGAGCACACTCTAAAAGTAAAAACCTGAGGAGTAAGTACTAACCACACTGAAGACTTACATGCTTCAGTAGACGTGGAAGCAAACTGTTACTTTAAATTCCTTAGTTTTTTTTAGCTTCCCTGCTTGAACTGCAGATATGGAAGTATTGGCTGAATTTAAGTAGCTGGTAAAAATACCACAAGCCTATACTTATTTAGATGGTAGGGACACAAGCAAGAAGCTACTTTTTAAAAACTGGCAGACATGTTTTACAAAGTTATCTTCTAGAGATATAATTCAGACTGCTATCTGGTGTTCCTAAGTGTGACACAGACTTGGAACTGAGGTCATAAAACTTACCCAGGTGCATTGGAGGAAGAGAAAGGAAATTCAACTAAGAAGTTGAAGGAGAGGGTCTTTGTATTTCAAAAGTTCTAGAAAGTAAAAATACAAGGAATGGATGCACGGCAATGACCATCCAGAGTTACAGCAGCCAAAAAGTTCCCAGAACTGATAAATGACATAAAGTCAGCAGGAGAAAAACAGTCTGTTTCACTTTAGTGAATCAGGGACACCAAGGACAACCCTTCTAGAGGTCAGGGACAAATGCACGACAGAGAAGAGACAGGAGGTAACGGTGTCGAAAACAGAAGGTTAATTAGAAACAACAACAAAACCCATGATGCACAAGAGTTTGGTCATCCATGGAGCCTCAGCAGAGTGCACTGTGGCTCACGCTGTCCACTCAAATTTCATGTACAAGTCTGTTGTTCTGGGACAAAATGCCTGAAAGTGGGTCACGTGCACAAGAAACCAAGATGAGGGTGCTAGTGGATTTGGTGTATGGTAAACATTGCCTGCTTGCAGATGGCTCTTCCAACTAGGAAGAACAACACTGCTCCAGGGGCAGAAGGCACAAAGGGTGAAGAGTTGCAGGCATTCAGGTAGGAAAGAAGCCCTGGCTTCCATGGCCAGTCCCTACAAGGACATGGATATGTCATGCTATGATAGTCTCCGGTACTACAGGTATTAATTAGCTAAAGTCTCTTCTCCTTTCGGGTTAGTGCTTTTGTGTTTTTCTCTATCAGCTTCCCAGGTTGCTTAAAGTGAGACCAAAAGTGTGCCAGTATATGAACTTTGCATATTCAGTTTCCAGGTTTGATATAATTTGGTCAGATAAGGAATGTTCCAGGAATGACTCGTGAATGAGGGTTTTCTAACTTTCATAAATAGGGAAATTAATATTAAAATAGCAGCCTCATGCATTTCTTAAATGCTTGTTTGTGCACTGACAATATCAGACCTCAGAGCATATGAACAAAAACATTTCAACAGAATATATAATACTATGACATTACAGATGACCACAAAGTGACATCATTATTGAAGTCACTTCACTGCTCTGGTGGTTAGGTTTATCTTCTGAAACTTTGCCTAAATATATATTTATAAAGGAGCAATAGATTCTTGGTGATTAAAGAAACTGGATTGTTGACAGCTTAATCTCTACAGGTTCTATGTAACAGTAGGATCAGTTATCTTAATGAACTGTAAAATAACTGAGAAGTGTAGAGGAATGTGGATGCAGACTGAAAAGGAGCATCCTCCAGAGCACTGTTCACCTCTCCAGTTCCAGTCAGCTCCCATACTCTGGGGATCAAATCCAGCCAGCGCCTGTCTCCTGCCCATGTACAGCCTTCAGCAACTCCACTCTGGGGGTGGCCAGACAGAAGTTCGGGCGACTACTGTCTTCTGGGACATTGACACAGCAGACAAATTTACTGGGCCTCCACAGTTGGTGTGACTACATCAGGGCCTGGCATTAGAATTGACCGTGCCAGGAGCCCACCTGTATCTAAAGCTCTGCGTGAGGCCCTGGGGCTCTTCTGTTTTACTATCCCCTTCCCCATCTTCCCATGTGAGGCTGTGTAGGGTCAGCTAGCCAGGTCCCCTGCTTTGACTCTGTAATAATAATAATAATAATAATAATAATAATAATAATAATAATAATAATAATACAATACAGCATGTAGATGTAAACAAGGAGGCTCCCATAGTGCGTGCTATGGCTGATACTTCTTGGGCTGCTAGGCAGCTCACACCAAAATGAGGCTCAGGTTTCAAACTATACAGGGCCTACTGTAAGTTTGGGCTAAGCATACGACCTTTTTCTAGCAGATGCACTATGGAAAAGTAGTTGAATAATATTTCTAACCGGAGAAACTTGTTAGTGCTACCTTAGCCAGGTGGTCAAGATCGGTGAAGTCCTGATGATCACAGGTAATCTCCCTGATCTTCCTCTCAAATGCCGCAACCCTCATATAATCTTGAGGGAAACGTCAAATTCCATTAGAAGGCTGCTACACAAATATTTGACCCCGAAACTGACCTCTTTGAACAAGGAAAATCAAATTCATTGCCAAGAATAGCACGTGTAATGTGGGGTCATGAGTGAGATCCTACTGATGAATGACATTAAGTAAAAAGTAAGGAAATTGAACAAACTGGATTTTTGTTAATAGTTTCTGAATATTGACAAATCCATATTGAAACAAGCTGTAAATGGTATTTTGCAGTGGTATGCTATTTACAAGTACACATAGTAAATAGTAACAATATTAGTAATAATAATAATAATGCCTGAAATAAAATGATGCAATGAAAAAACTAGCAGTATTGGAAAACAAAATTAACTAGCTGGAGTCAGGAAACATGTGTCTGGGTAAAGGTGCCTGCCACCAAGCCTCATGACCTGAATTAGATCCCAGGAAAGGAGACTGGATGCAGAGACGCTGTCTTAAGAGTTTCTCTTGCTGTGGTAAAATACCATAATCATAAGCAAGCCGGAGAGGAAAGGGTTAATTCCGGTCTTCCATAGCCCATCATTGGGGAAGTGAGCGCAGGGACTGAGGCAGAGTCCATGCAGCAGCGCTGGTCCTGATTTGTCCCTCATGCTCATTTGTCCCTCACTGCTCAGGCTGCTTCCTTACAGCACCCAGGGCCACCGCTGCGCCCTCACATCGGTCACCAATTGAGAAAATGCCCTTCCGTCTTGCCTACAGTGCAGTTTTGTGGAGGCATTTCATGACTGAGGTCCCCTCCTCTCGGATGACTCTAGCTTGTGTCAAGTTGACCTAAGACTAGCCAGCACACCTGACCCCTTGTCAGCTTGACACACAGACATCACTTCCCAGCTAGAGCCTGTCCTATCTCATTTGCCGCAGATGGCAAATAAGCATCCTATAAAGCACTACAAATACCCTAACATATCCACACTTTCTCTAAACTTTTCAGTCTCGGAGATTCCAGTGTCGCTTTAAAAGTACAGAGTTTCACCTATAGACTATTAAAAAAAAATCAAGTAGTTTCTTATTCCCAAGGGACAGTTAAACCAAAATCCAAATGGATAAAGTTCAGTGCATGACGCCTGGGGCCCACTCACTGTCTTCCAGGCTGCAAAGGACCTCTACTCCCTGGCTGTGCCATCCACAGCACGTGTGTCTTGTCCCATAGGCTCAGGCCAGCGGGGCTTCATGACTGATCCTGTGCTCGGTAGCCAGATAGCAAATAATGCCTTTGAGATCCATCCAAGTTACTGTACTTACTGGTAATGCGTCCTTTCTATTGCGAGTGCTATTCCATATGTGTGTCTAATTATTTATGATATTTTGATTATTTTTCTCACTGATAAGACTTCTATGACCATCATGCCACATATAGCAAACAATAATAATGACAGTGGTTTCATGAGCCCTTTCCAGTCTCCAACATCTGTGCATCTATACAAACATTTTTTTTTTTTTTTTTTGCCTTCAACTATGAAAAGTCTGCTTATGTATGGCTTCTTAGGTCCACAGTGGACCCTGACTGTGTGTCATTACTGCATTCATTCAACCATGGGCGCTAATTTTTTATGTGACCAATGTAATACCTTTGTTTTAAAGAAAAAATCTCAGAGTGTCAGCAAAAGGGCAGCAACACGGCCAACACACCAGCCACATGAGAGGAAGGGAAAGGATACACTGTGGAAGGAGATGTGAAGGCTTCTAAGCGGAGGGAAGAGATAAAGCTGCCTGCTTCGTTGTTGCTTTCCTGAATGGGGGTGCCTTTCTAGAGAATGCCATTATATGAAGGAAAACGAGTCGGGCTTTGACAGCTTCCACAGGAAGCGGCTGGGGTTGGTCCTTTTAGAGCGAGACCTGTGGCTCCTTTGCACAAGGAGTGAGCAGAATTCCCAAGAACATCTAGAGAGACACCCATTAAGACAGAAGCACGGGCAGACCGAGGAGCTGTGTGGCCAGCTAATGCTGGTCAATGAACCTTGAGGAGTGAGTATTGATTTCTACCATCCAGCCACGAAATCCCTGCTGTAGCGGTGGAGCATGAGGCTGTCACAATATTAGTGACACAATAAAGTGTGGGGTGAAAAAGAAAACTTGGGCCCCTCTACCTCAATGCCCTCAACTGTACAGCCACACACAGACTGTACCACACATTAGTCATCATTCAGTGAGTTTTCCTCTCACCAACATACCCTTTCACAGGCTTTTTCTTTCTCTCTCTCTCCCTCTCTCCCTCTCTCCCTCCCTCTCCCTCTCTCCCTCTCCCTCCCTCTCTCCCTCCCTCTCTCTCTCCCTCTCTCCCTCTCTCCCTCCCTCTCCCTCTCTCCCTCTCTCTCTCCCTCTCTCCCTCCCTCTCTCTCTCTCTCTCTCCCTCTCTCCCCCCCTCTCTCTCTCCTCTCTCTCTAAGGTAGGGTCTTGCAATGGTTCCCAGGCTGGAGGCTGGTCTCAACTTCTTGGACTTAAGGGATCCATACTCCTGCTTCAGCCTTCTGAGGAAGCTGGGACTAAGTAGCACACTAAGCTTGTCAGTAGCACATCCTTCTAATGTCTAAAATAATATTCCTTATTCCAATGAATTGCTATATTAGTCAAGTCATGACTTTTTTTTTCTCTCAGCAAAAAAATAGGATGTCTTGAAACATCATCTTGTCTGGGATCATATATTTTTAAGGGAAAGATTTGTTGAAGGGAAATCACTAGACTCAAAGTAGGCATACTGACAGGGTGACAAGGGCAAATTGCTCCAAGAAGGTTCTGTGTACTGGGCTAGAGAGGGAGCATGAGTGCTTTTTACATCTCCAGACTAATATTGAAGTTTACAATATGCTGTAGTCCAATTATCCAACATGGAGCCTTTCTGTGGTCCCCATATCATGATTAACAATGAATCTAACACCTGTTAATACATGCATGGCCAATTGTTCTCTCTGATACAGGTTGCTTTTATTACAGACCATGAATCTCTGCTAGGCTCATTTATCTTACCAGTTTGTAGAACTGGACAAGAGTCTATAGTTTGTTCTGTATGTCGATCCATTTTCATGACATCTAGGATATGTGAGCTATCACTGCAGCCCTGGTTTGGGATGGAGGACAAATCTGAGGGAGAGGGCAGCTAAGACGAGAACAAAGATGAGCAATGGGCACGGATTCTGTCCTCCATCTGTCTGCAGGGTCAAGGTGCTGAGGCATGGGTGAGAAAGGGAAGGGGAAAGGTTCATCCCTCGCTCATGGACGACCGTGGACACTGTCTAACCTCTCCAGGAAGGAGGGAATAGGGAGAATGGCTTTGCACTTAATGTTTAAACAGTAGACACTGTGTGACTGCGGTGAAGTCATCCACATAAGCACTGTTGATTTGAAAGGGTGATCAGAAGAGCCTGTGAATGCATAACAAAGTTAGTTTAACACATAATCCATTTCTCATAATGGACCAACATTCACCTTCAAGAACTCTCCTGATTTTGGAATCTGGAATATTCTGGAGAGCAGCAGGACTCCTGGTCCATGGTATGTAAATGAGGGCACGGGCTGGGTGAGGGTGTCCGAACAAAGTCCTGAGGACAGTCACAGGAAGCTTCTGTAAGGCTGAAGAGCATTCTCCCTAACATGGCTGCTGGAAGAAAGGAACTTCTGATGTTGGAAAACTTCATAGGTGGAAAATTTTTACCATGTAGCTCTTACATAGATTCGTATGATCCATCAACCGGGGAAGTGTATTGCAAAGTTCCCAACAGTGGGAAAGAAGAGGTGAGTCTACCCACTCAGAAAACAAATGCATTTGCTGTGGTGACAAATTGTGAAAACCTATTTTCTGAAAGGAAACGGGGGGGGGGGGGGAGATTTAGAGGTTCGTGAGGTACTTATGACAGGACAGGTGTAGGTCAGAACAGCTCCGGGCTTTCAATGGACAGAAGAAAGTTGTTGTTTGCCAACTTAACAGCTCTGGGCGTTGTTGGTTTTAATTTTTGTAATTCTCAGGCTGTAAGAGGTATTTAGTGCATCCTTTCTCTACAAAGTATCCATTAGCTCTTGGATTTATAAAAATAAGTTTTAAAAACTTCAGTTTAGAGCAACACAAAAATCCCAGTACTTTATTTTAGACTATCATCCAATAGTTCCCCGTATCTCTAAAAATGCCCAGTGAAACAAAGCCAACCAGCCATTTGAGTAATGAAACCAAAAATTAAATTCTTGTGTTTTTTCATTATACTTAGTTATTTTTTTAAAAAATATTTAATGGTTCATATTCCTTTCCTGTCCCCTTTCTGTTTAGTTATGAGGAATTAAGTTCTCTTGGGGAATTTGGAACAATACCTAAAATATATTTGATTAGTTATGAATTATTGCACAGAGAATAAAAATTATCTAGTGTGATAAGTGTGGCTGATTATGTAGTTACCAAGTGAATATTGTTTATTCTTTTTAAGGCACAAAGAACTAACTAGGTTATAATTTCAGCCTTCCTATATGCAAAGTTTTTTTTCTTCAAAGATTCAGCTTTTTTTCTTCATTGTTAAACTTTAAATTGATCTTTTAAATTGATCTAGAAGAAAAATATCACTTTAGACTTATGTACTAAAGTTTACAAATATTGGATAACTTGTTAGTTAAATTGTAACTGGCAATTTTGTTTGCTTCTAATGACAGCAAATGGCCACATGAGAAATCTAGCCTTGTCTTCTCCACCCTTCCCAGTCTCGGATCTTTCCAAAGTGATGCTAAAAATAACAAATCTACTAAATGCAGGTAGTGTGGTAATCACTCACATTTCTTCAGGAAGTAGAATAAACAGCTACATGTACTTTTAACTACCATACTATGTATAGCAATTCAGTTTACAAATAGTCTGTGTTCCACAAATGCTGTGGGGAGAGAGAGAGAGAGAGAGAGAGGGAGGGGGAGGAAGAGGGACAGAGGGAGAGAGGGAGGGGAAGAGGAAGAGGGAGGGGGAGAGGGAGAGAGGGAGAGGAGGAGAAGCAGCAAAGTGAGATATTAATCTGCAAACTAGACCAGGGCAGAAAAGCACTCAGATGCATTCTGTGTGCTTCACATTTTGGCCACAAGAGGGCATATCTGTTTCCGTGTGTTTGTCCTTTTCAGTTCTGCACTCTAGCTTTTCCAATAGAGGCCTCTTCTGTGGGCGGGGCAAAGACACTTGCTATGCCCCAGAAATGGTTCTCAACCCTCGGATGTTCAACACAGGGGTCATATATCAGATCTATCAGATATTTACATCACGATTCATAATAGTAGCAAGATTACAATCATGAAGTAGCAACAAAAATACATTTATGCAGCATTAGGAAGGTTGAGAACCACAGTGCTATAGTGTGTGAGTTAACGGACTTGGGGCCCACAGAAACTGGTTTTGAATCCCCACACTGCCACTTAGTAGCTGCGACCTCTGCCAAGTTATGTGATCTTTCTTATTACAGAACAGCACACAAAACTCCAGTGTGGAGTTTTAAGAGAAATTAAGGACTTTGTGGTTTTGGTTATAGTCCTTCAGATATGCAAATTATCAGTGAATGGGGTTAGTCATTAGACTGATGGGGTTAGTCACTCCCGGTGCCAGGAACAGACCTAGGATGCGCTCACACAGAGAACGTTAGACTTCACAAACTGTTAGCACTGAATTAAGAGCATTGGGGATTGGACACATCTAGACCAATTTTCTTTCCCATGCTAGATCCAAAATGGTGCATTCTTTGGAAAATGATTGAAAATTCTTATCTTTTAAAATTAAAATCACCTCTTCCAAGTTACTTGATGGCTGAATTGTAGATACCTTGGTACGATGGTGTGCATTCCCCTCCCCGCCCCCAGCTCCCCTCTATGCCTGGCCTCTGAATTGGAAGCTTGAGCATCTGACCTACCTTACAAATGCATGTTGTGAGAGACAATGGCTATGCTCAGTCCCTTGCCAGGCAGCCTTATCCTCTCCTGGATCCCCATTCTGCCAGCCTGACTTAGGCCTCTGGGCTGTAATTGCTTTATCTCTGAAGTGAAAAGGTGCCTTGGTGAAGTCACACTTCTGTCACTCTGTGGATCCCTCCGGGACATCCCATGAAACAGCAGCTTGCTCCTTTCAATGCGGAGAAGTATGGAACCAGCACGGATGGGCCACGGTCGGCTACCATTCACCACCAAAGTGGAGCTGGTGGCTTGCAGTTTGGGGCTGCTATGACTACTGGTGCTATAAACACTCCTGTATACTATTGTTTTCTATGAAAGTAGGACCTCATTTCTCGGGGTAAATGCCCAGGAGAGAGTTCCTGACTAAGTTCTAGCACTGTCACATTCTACCTGAGTACCTGTCTTTCTCATTCCCACCAGCAGGGGGTGACAGTGATTGTTTTACAGCACCCTCCCCAGCATTCTGTACTGCCAGCGTTTTGTTTTATCCCTTGGCCCCCTCTTTTTCTTGTGGTTCTGGTGGTCAAACTGAGGCATTGGACATGCCAGTGAAGTGCTGTATTTCCAAGCCACACTCGCAGCCCAGGATCTTTCAATTGCTGAAATTGGCTGCATGCACATTTCCCTATGGCTACCGACTGGACTTTTTCGTGTCCTTATGTATCTTGGGCATGCATCTTTTGTGAAGTATTTGCTCACATCTTTTGTCCATTTGCTAATGAAATTGCTGCCACATCACTGTTGACCGTTGTAGTTTCTTCATACGGGACAGATCAGAATCATATGTCAGCTCTTTGGCTACCCTTTGAAACTGCTGACTAGTCAGTCATTCTGCCTGTTCACCATCAGAGGAGCTGGTGAACAGCTGTTTGGACTTACCTGAGACCCTGGATCCCATCCCTGGTACCACTGATACCCTGCATCACAACTCTGGTACCACTGAGACCCTGCATCCCATCCCCGGTACCACTGAGACCCTGCATCCCATCCCTGGTACCACTGATCCTGCACCCCATCCCCGGTACCACTGAGACCCTGCATCCCATCCCTGGTACCACTGAGACCCTGCATCCCATCCCTGGTACCACTGAGACCCTGCATCCCATCCCCGGTACCACTGAGACCCTGCATCCCATCCCTGGTACCACAGAGACCCTGTATCCCATCCCCGGTACCACTGAGACCCTGCATCCCATCCCTGATACCACTGAGTCCCTGCATCCCATCCCTGGTACCACAGAGACCCTGCATCCCATCCCTGGTACCACTCACTGATCCTGCATCCCATCTCTGGTACCACTGGGGCTGCCTTGTTCACAGGAGGTGGGGCATCTTTAGGCTTGTCTTTGGGCTTCTAGCTGTTCATGCTAGAGTCTGGTCCAGTCGACCTGCTGTTGGCTCTGAGACTAAATTCGGAAGGGGTTCAGCAGACAGGAGGATAGGCTTTGGCACTTGGTTTCACGTGGTCAGCTGCTGATCACCGGGAGCCTGTGGTGGCAATGACTCAGAACTCAGATGGTCAGATTTGCCTGAGGACAGCAGAATGGAGAACAAAATAACCCTTCCTTTGTTTTTGTGCTGTTTGATGGTTACGCAAATACCTGTGTTGTCTATTTTGTGTGTAGTTTAGCACTAGGACATGTCGAATAGCTGAAATCAGGCAGAATGACCATCAGACATGAAGGGAGCCACAGATTCTGGATGCGGAGGGTCCTCGGGAGCCGTAGTGCTAAAGTGTCCAACTCTTCTTTGTTCCTCAAAGATTGAAGCTGCCGTGGAGGCTGCCAGAGAGGCCTTCCCTGCCTGGTCATCTCAGAGTCCCCAGGAGCGTTCTGTGGTCCTGAACCGGCTGGCTGACTTATTGGAGCAGTCCCTGGAGGAGTTAGCCCAGGCTGAGTCTAAAGACCAAGGTGAGGGGGTGTCCCTGGCAGGCATGTCTGCCTTCCGAGATCTTTAACCAGCAGTGACTGGGCTTGAGTACAGGTGTGTCCTACTATACACCCATGAAAACTGCAGTACATATGCAGGTATTGGCTGCTAGCACCCTCATTCTAGTTTGTCAGATAATCTCTAGCCTTTTGCTAAAGGCAAGTTAGTCATATCATCCTGTCTGAGGTGTCAAGCTGGCCTACACACTTGCTTATCAAGACAGCAATAGAGATGGAGGCCAAAACAATGCAGGATGCAGAAAGCCAAGTTATGTGGGTGACATGCTCTGCCCCGAGCCAGTGGCTGAACCCAAAGCTAAATGATGGGGGAAAACACTCTGCCAATTTAGTGGGAGGAGCGGCAAGGATCCACAGCAGAGTATGGATATGGGGAGCTCAGAAGAACTAGGGGTGGGTGTCCATGCCATCTGCCTGTTGTGTTCAGAGGGTCCCCAGGTAAAGACAATCTGAAGAGTGGCTAGTTTGCTGATGTATTGTCACTATTCACTCCTTCCCAAACGCATGGGGATAGAGTGAATATATAGATTGCATACATAATGTCTTTCAGGAGGAGTCGTGTGGTATTAAAATGTGCCTGCCATAAGCTAACCTAAAGTTAGGAAGCAGCAGACAGGTCCCCAGTGTGGTGGACACGTGTGATAGCAGCACTGGGGAGGCTGGGGCTGAGGCAGGAGGATTGCCAGTTCCTTTGGCTCCTGTCTGGGGGCAGCCATCTCACTTTGTCACTGAACGGTACTGAGAGAAGTTCAAGTAGACTCCCTCCTGCCCCCTCCCGAAACCAGCATCCTGTGTTGAGGTTCACACTAGCTCTTTTGATGACCATTCTGTGTTTGGAGGATGTTTAATATAGCTCACACATTTATATGTGATGTGAACATTTCGCTATTTTAACAATATTTCAACCCTGTCATTTCAAAGCTGCTAACACAGGAGAGCCCGTGTGGGTGAAATGGTGGCATCTGGTAGCTTCGTGAAGAAAGCCGGGAGGTATTCACATAGCAAGGATGTTCTGGCTCTATTTTAGGCCTCTCCACCTCACTCTGTAACCTTACGCCTAAATATTTCATCGATTGATCCAACCAGCATGTACTCTGTGAGGTAAAAGAAGCGCCCACTGTGGGCTGGAAATGAGCACGGTGACAGATGACAGGCAACAGAGGTCAGCGCTAACTCCACGGGAAACACACAGGCAGCCTTTTATGTTGTTCACTCCCTACAGGGAAAACCCTCACCCTGGCGAGGACCATGGACATCCCTCGGGCAGCTCAGAACTTTCGGTTCTTTGCATCCTCCATCGTGCATCACACGTCGGAGTGCACGCAAATGGACCACCTGAGCTGTATGCACTACACTGTTCGCACCCCTGTGGGAATCGGTAGGTGTTCTCAGGAAAACTTGTATCAGAACGTTCAGAGAATTCTGGAGGAATGTTTACTAGGGACAGACTAAGGAAACACAGAGGCTGAGTTTTTTCCTTTTACTGAAAATTCACTGCCTTTAAAAATGATTTCTAGTCCATTCTCCTTGTATCAAATTCTCTGCCTTTTCCAGAATCCTTGTCTTGGATGATCACAGGGAAACGGGGTGATGTCAGAAGTGTCTTCTTGCTTACAATTAAAATAAGAAAACAACAAATCCAGACAGTGCCTTGTTTAGACTGCAGGGCTGTATCTTCTTCAAGCTTCAGTGTTCTGAAAAGCCAGGGAAATAGTTCACTTTTCTCTTTACAGGACTCAGTAATATAAGACATTTGAGTCAGTTAATAAGTCTCTATCTAGTTAGCTGGCTGTGCTGCCTCGTTCCAGCACTTGGACAGGGGAGGCCGGGGTGATCAGAAGTACAAGGCTGGGGCTGGAGAGATGGCTCAGTGGTTAAGAGCACTGGATGCTCTTCCAGAAGGACCACGGTTCAATTCCCAGCATGCACATAAGCTCTCATTTAGATATACAGGCAGGCAAAGCACCAATGCACAGAAATAATTTTCTTTTTAAAGGAAAATAATAATGTTTTTCTTAAAAAAAAATAAAAGTACAAGGTTATCCTTGGTTACACAATGAGTTTGGGGTTAGCCTGGACAAGACCCTGTCTTAAAAAAAAATACACAATAAAGAAATGAGTATATGTTCCTTCAAGTAATGTCAGGTGTCTGGTGAATAAGAGTTAACCTTTTGCCTCTTGCCCTTTGATTAACATAAAAGTGTCTGAAATGACTAAATATAATCAGTAGATGTCACTGTTTCCCTTGAGAAGAAACACCATGTTTTACCAGATAAAATATTAGGACAACAAAAAGGAAGCAAATGAAACATTTCACTGTCTTGAGTCCTGAGACCTTCTAGAAATTATTTCCCAAGGCATCTGTGGGAAGCTTTAATCGCTTACTAAGAAGTGTATGGATATATTTTGTTGCAAACATTCTGTTACTCTTAAAGAACAGATTTTTCTATGAGAAAGTTAGTACTATAAAATATATTTACTTCCAGAGGACAAAATATAAAATAAAGTGAATTTTTTTTTTTAGTTTTTTTTTTTTTTTTCAAGAAAGGGTACCTCTGTGTATCCCTGCCTGTCCTGGAATTAGTTCTATAGACCAGGCTGACCTCGAACTCACAGCATTTTTTAATTCATAAGGGAGACATTCTATCCATGCAGGCTGTAGGTGGAAACTGGACAGTTTAAGAATAGTACATAGAGATACATTCCACCTAGCCCAACCATGGCTCAAGATGTGAATGGGACCTAATACACAAAATTATAAATTATTTAAAATACCGTGAGATTCTTCGGCCATTTTTGAAGTTAACTAATTGCATGCGTGTGAACTTGGTAGACGACAGCATTGTGCCACAGAGACCTAAGGTTGGACTGTATGTACCTGCTAGAAGTTAGGTGTGTTGTTATCCAGCAAACCTACATGGTCAGAACATAGTTGAAAATGTAGACAGAATTTGATTTTAAGATCATCTACATTACCATGGTGTATATCACAGATTGTATGTCAGAGTCCACCAGCATAATTGTTCCCTAGAGGAACATTCAGTCATTTCGTGCCTGGTACACACGTAATTCAGCGAAGTGAGTTTTAATGTCTCCGTGACAGCAGGTTAGAGACAGAGGTGGAGATGCCCAGCAGGGAAAACAACCTCACTGCTTAGTACTGCACTGGGACAAGACTTCCTTTATAACGAGCAGCTGGGCGGTGGTGGCCTTCGCCTTTAATCCCAGCACTTGGGAGACAGAGGCAGGCAGATCTCTGTGAGTTCGAGGCCAGCCTGCTCTACAATGAGAGTTCCGGAACAGCCAAGACTGTTAGAAAGAGAAACCTTGCCTCAAGACCCAATAAAAATAAAAATTAAGATCAGTGTACAGATTTCAATATGCGTTCTATTCAAACATATTGACAGCAGCCTTTATCCCTGGAGCTTGCATTTCTGTGGTTCCCAGTTATGACCGTGGCTCACCAGGAGGACAGGAAATGCACTGACCTTGCTGTTGTAAGGAGAAAATTCCTTGTACTGTTTTAGAATAACTTTCCTGAAGCTGGCCACCAGTAAGTGAAGTTTGGGTTTTCCGGGCAGCAGAGCATTCTACTAGAGACGCCACCCAGCTGGCCTGTCTCTGAGGAACTGCCATCATGGCTGTGCTCCTCTTGTTGTCCCTCAGCTGGTTTGATCAGCCCTTGGAACTTGCCGCTCTACCTGCTGACCTGGAAGATAGCTCCAGCCATTGCTGCTGGGAATACCGTGATAGCCAAGCCCAGTGAGCTGACCTCTGTGACTGCGTGGATGTTGTGTAAACTCTTGGACAAAGCAGGTAACAGGGTGTGGGGATGGGGAGGAGGCACAGAGCTAGGACCAGACTGCCGGAAGCCACGTTCATTCGGCACTGACTCGGTGCTGTCTTTTCAGTGTGAGCTCGCTACCTTCTGGCCATGCATGCCTTCACCCCCAGCAGTTCTCCACTGTCCCTTTCCCCCCCCCCCTCTTTAACTTCAGCAGGATGCCATTGGACAACAGCATCGCCCCAATGGCTGAAGGCTGTGGAGTAAATACTGCAGGCTTTGAGAGACCCGATAATGCCTAGTTTAAGATATTACCATCAACAGTCACTTCAAGTTTGAGCTTGGGTATTACTGGAGTTCATGTAGCTGAACAACGCCTAGTAGACTCAGCCATTTTCAAGGGGTTTAATATACGTCCCCCAGCTTTTGGGGCAAAAGTGGATAGGCCATGGCCACTCATCAACATGCACCCATTTGTTCTTCACTCTCTTTCAGCTAACAGTTTAATGTTAAACTTAGGCTGCCTTCCTGTCTCCATTTGGGATATAATCCTGCATGGAGAAGCCTGGTATTGTCTCAGTATTTAGGTCCCAGCAAGTCACCTTTGAAAAGGCACTTTCTGTTAGGGTACTCATCTTGTGTAACCCTGCAGCTGGGATGGGAATGGTGGAGACAGATTTTTCACCCTCTGTCTGTGTCAACATGGGATGTGTTTACTGCCTTTTGGCACTGAGAAGCCATGGTGGGCTCTCCTGACTCCATAGAATGGGCAGCAAGTAGAAGCCTGTTTCTCCCTCCTTCTGTCCCCCTCCCTCCCTCTCTTCCCACTTACTACTCCCCTCCCTCCCCTCCCTCTCTCCTGGATGCTTCAGAAGCAAAAGCACATACATTAGCCTCCAGAGAGGTTTAGCTAGTTTTTTGTTTTGTTTTGTTTTTGTTTTTTTCAGATTTTGATGCTAGGTTAGATCTGGGCTTGTTTTGGAGAATGGCGCTGGTCCTTATAGCCCTAGGAACGAGGCCACCTAACCAGTCTTTGAGATGCCTATAGAGATGCCCTAGGCCCCTAGAAGATGAGACCTTGCCTACCTCTCCCATTTTCCAGAATGTGCCCATACTTCCTTCTATTTCCATTCTTCACAAAACCAAATCTGTGTGCACATAGGCACAAGCCATTTCTTGCCAGCTTGGTGACTGCGGGTTCATAGAGTGGAACAGGGGAGGGGCTGTGCCTCTTCATCAAACCTTAGCCCTTAAAAAGCTTTATTCTTGTGTGTTCGTGTGTGCCTGACTGATCTTCTAGCCACTTAACCCAGTCTTTATTTTGCAATAGCTGTTTGTCAACTAAATTGTTTTTCTTCTCTGGCAACCAGAGTCTCTTAAGAGTTTAGAGAGCAGATATCTGTACAAAAATGTTGTTACCGTTTGGCTCAAATGACAGATGACATTGAGAAATCACACAAGTTGCTACCTCTTAACACATTAACATCAGACCTCAGGCAAACAATCAGAGTGCTAATGTGTGGAAATCTGTCAGCCTGTGGAATGGACTCATTGTCCCGTGGAATGGACTCATTGTCCCGTGGTGAGACATACACAGTGTTCCTGTGTTTTCTCTCAGCCTCTGTTGAAATATCACAGTAAACTCAGACAGGACTCAGTTCATTTTTGCCTTTGAGGATTTAATTACAGCTGCGCTTATGCCCTTTCTCTCCATCTGCCCATATGTCACATATCGGAGCTGCAGGCCTCATGCATGGATGATGGGCAACTTGTCCTTGTTTTTGTCCTATCATTGGCTTTCCTTCTAGACTCTGCTTTGCTCTTCCCCATGGTACCCAGAGCTCCTCTAGCCATGGCCTATGAACCAAGGCTGACCTAAACTAGATTCAGTAGATGCATATAATGAATATGGGCAGCGTGCTTAGGAGTAAGACTGACACCTATCTCATAGCACCGACTTTCCACCTGTCCCCTTAAGGGACCTGCTGTGTGTGTGTTAGGGAGGGGTCTTCACTGTCCCCTCAGAGTGGCCAGGCTTATGCTGTGGCTTCTTGGAAGGGAGTTCCAGAAAATCTTAGGTCATTAATGTGACAGCAGTATCTATACTTTAAGAACACATTTTTGCAGACTGGTTTTGAACTGAGAGATGCCTGGGACGGCATCTTGAAGATTTGAAAAGAGAGAACGCTTAACCCAGAGCAAGCGGAGGAGACAAGCGCTCCCAGGCTGTCCCCAAAGTGTTTCATGCAGGGTTTCTGCACCTGCTATATATATAGTCACTTGAGGGAACAGAGGGGCTGGACCCAGATGCCCCATGAAAAGCCTGAGAAGCCCCTAGATACAGACACAATTTGAACAGGTGGAGCTTCTCCAACTTATCATCTGTTTCTCATTGGCCACTGAACACCAGTTGGTTCACTCTCATCCACTAGCATTTGTTAGCCTTCTCTGACCAGATTTACTGATTATTACTTAACTTTGCCAACTTTCTCATCAGTAAAGCGAACTAATAATAGTAAGTTCCTTAAAGGGTTGTGAGGTCAAACACTGGCCTGTAATCTCCCATTGTGAGAGATGTGTTTCCAGATTGTAGTGGATGCCTGAAATTGTGGATGGCATTGGTTTCTCTATACATCTTGTTTTTTTTTTGCATACATATAGACCTATGGTAAAGTTTAACTTATAAGTTAGGCACAATGAGAAATTAACGGTAAAGCACAAAAAGTATGACAGCATATTGTAATAAAAGCGATGTGAGAGTACTTTTTCTCTAAATGTAAAGATATATATTTCAGACCGTAAGTGACTAACAAGTCCATAGATAATAGAGGATGACTACAGATTACTAATAACAATAGCTGACACTTACTAAGCAGCCAATAAATGTTATCATGTACTGGTTGCCCAGGGCATACAATGGAGAACAAAATTCAGATAGCATTTCTGCCCTTAGCCAGTAAGTCAGTGGAGGGCAGGCATAAGGAAGTAAGGAAATTCATGGATGAGGACATAGCTTAGATGGTCAAATACTTGAAGCACAACATGAGGGTCTGAATTCAATCAGCAGAATGAATGTAAAAAAGCCAGGTATGGTGGTACACAATTGTAATCTCGGTGCTGGGGATGCAGGCAAGCCAATCTCAGATGCTCACGAGGAAACCAGTCTAGCCTACTCCAGGAGATCCAAGCTAATGTAAGACTCTGTCTCTAAAAGGATGGCTTCTGAGGAATGACATTGAGGTTGACTTCTGCCCTTTACCTATATGTACATTCACATGAATACACACTCAGGCACATGCACAGTCACCCCTCCCCTAAGAATTTAATCACAGAAGAGGTAAATGTATACATGTGGATTTAGGCCTACCTGCGTTTGCATGTTCCTGGTATTTGTTGCATGATTTAGGGTTGCGGTGATGCTGTATGTAACAATGGGCACAGGACCTCAAGTCAAAAATTACCCCCTCTGGGATGCCTTCTCCTGCCTCTCTGGGCCAAAATAATTGATGTCTTCACATCTCTGCAAACCCACACACCTGTTTATTTAACACTGTTACCCTGATTTGCAACTTCCAGGTATCAAGTTGGAGCAAGCTCCTGTTCCAAGGCCGGGTTGGGATTGCTTGATGGTACTGGTACATCAGCCCCCAAGGCTTAGTATTATAGAATGAGTTTCTCAGAATGTCCTTTACCCTGCATCTTTCCAGGCCAAAGCACCCAGGGAAACCCCAGCAGGCAGATTCTGTAAATATAGGTAACTCTGTAGCACTGGCTTTGCTGTTAAACTCGAGCTAGTCATAAAATCTCCACCATCCCCACCCTCTTCCCACATGGCAGCTTTTGGACTCCCAAAGGAGAGCCTGCTTGTCACTTCAGGTGTCCTCCATAAACACAGGAGAATTACTATCGCTGATTTATTCCCTTCAGGTGTTCCACCAGGTGTGATTAATATTGTGTTTGGAACCGGGCCCAGGGTTGGTGAGGCCCTGGTGTCCCATCCAGAGGTACCAGTGATTTCCTTCACTGGGAGCCAGCCCACAGCTGAGCGGATTACCCAGTTAAGTGCCCCCCACTGCAAGAAGCTCTCCCTGGAGCTGGGAGGCAAGAATCCTGCTATCATCTTTGAGGATGCCAACCTGGAGGAGTGTATCCCAGCAACCGTTAGGTCCAGCTTTGCCAACCAGGTATGAGTCCCGCTTACTAAGTCCATGTCAGGTTGGATCTATTTCCTCACAAGGCCAAGTCCAGGGGGTTTGGCAATGGTCCTGATATTTGTGTTTTTCTGAAAGTAGGATCAGTTATAGTGTTATTCTAACACCCAGGAGTGGCCTGGTACAGCCACAGCTTTTTTTGGCCAAATTCCTTGTCTTGAGTCACACAACTTTTATCAAGTACCAGCCACGGGTACAATGACTGAAAGCATTTCCATTTCTTTATCCGCACAGCCTCCTGTCTCCTCTTTGCAGCCACATGTCCTGTTACTGTAGATTTTCTTCTCTCCCCAAAGTATCCTTGATGCCTTTACTCCCCAAGTTCCCATTTCCTGCAACATTCAAGTTGGAGTGACAGAGAACTTCAGGACACCTTTGCGATTTCTATTATTATTACGTCACAGATATTTCTGTGGTCTCTGCCCTTTCTGTCAGGTTTTTCAACCTTACTTCCTAGAGGAGTAAGAACATGGGCAACAGCTTCCCATAGATGGGAATGATGCCCCTATTTCTTTACGTTAACAATAATGTGAATAGTGGCAAACATGACTTTCAATTAATACTTTTGTGATAATTGTAATGATAGTTATTTCCTTTACCATAGTTTCCAAAGACAATGGCTAGAAATACAGTGTTTGGCTATCGGTGAACAATTGAATGTTGTAACACAAATTATTTAATTATTAAAATGAGCAGATGTCACGTAAACAAACTAGTGTATCAAGGGCCAATCAGGACAATGTGAGAGGTACAAACTCTAAGAACTGAGATGAGGGAAAGTGAGAGGGACAGGTCGTTATAAGGTAGCCACTGCTAAGCAAGGAGACACAGATTAGGGCTACCCATCTACCAGGATCCTTTTAGGATTCGGCTCGGACCGATGAACCTTCCTTTGAGGAAGAGGGGCGTTTTAAGGTATCAAAGGGAAAAAGAATATGGTTAAACCATGGCAACAGATGAATTTTAAGGAAACTTTAGCTTACTTTAGCTTACTTTATTTGCTTTAGCTGATAGAGTTCCAGGCAGGGCATATTTCTCCCTTAATTGAAGATAATTGGCGTCAGGGGAGGGGAGAGGTAAACTCTCAGCAGGGGAGGGGAGAGGTAAACTCTCAGTGTGACCTTGGGCATATATTAATTCAAAACTCGGTTTCCTAACTGTGACCTGAGAATACCAGCACACTGCAGGATTTTTATGGAGAAAATATCCAAGTCAGTGCCTGGCATGGCATAGCAATTCAGTGATTGAGGTCTTTCTTCACTCATTCCCTTTGGAGTCATTCTTTCTAGGATCTCAGTGTAACCTATATTTTCCTAGCACTAAGTGATGGTGATGGGAAACTTGTTAAAACTCTCAAGTCTCACCACCATGCCCTCCTTTTGCATAGGGAACTTATGCAAATGAATCCAACAGGTGTTTGGCCATCTTCCAAGCCACATAGGCAGATGGTTCTGATAGTGGCCCTGCTGGAAAAAGAATTCACTTTTTCAGAACATTAACTGCTTAATTCGAACAATAACCCTTCGTGCAAATACCAAGATAATTAGAAGCATTCTGGTCCTAGGATTGTTGTGAACACCAAATATAAATGTGATGAAAAATGTTATTAATATTTATGCATCCATATACTTTTGTACATTTTGCTCTCAAGTGTTTAGATGTGGTTTGTAAACTATTTGTATTTAAATAACAGTTAGGATTTTTCTCTCTCCAAAATCTACCAGGACCTTTCCTCTGAACACTCAGAATCTTTATTTAGATATGCAGTTGGCACTGGAACAGCAGAACTCTTGATCCCACTCTCTCTCCCCCCACTGGAAAAATGCCTTCCCGTTGCCTCCTGTCTGCCCTTCCACAGAAAAGCATACCATCCAGGGCGGTGCAGAGCCCAGAGCCTGGGTCAGAGCTGCTCTTGCTCTTTTCCTTCTAGCTGTGTCTGATCTATAAGCGGTTCTTGCTGACTCGACGTTTAACCTGTATTCCTAAACACTGTCTGGTTAGTGTATCCACCCAGGTCTCCTACACTTTTTGGGTTCCACACTCCTTTAAGAGCGTTGAATTAGTGGAGTTATTTCCCTCTCCTCTTCCGTTGATGCCTCCCCAGGACAAGCTATCTACACTTATTTGAGCTTTGGGAATTTGTGCCTCATTCCTCACTCTAACTTCCTTCCGGTTTTGTTTTGCAAACAACTTTGTGAATGATCATCTAGAAATGTAAGTTTCAGGGTCAGAGGGGATAGTACAGTTGGGAAAGAACTTCTCATGCAAGCACGAGATTCTGAGTTCAACCCACTAGGGCCCACCTAAGAAAGCCAGCCACACACTGTAGTCCTAGGCCTGACAGTGGGTCCTCTGGCTCATGGGTCAGTCAGACGGGCCTACTCAGAGAACTCTGAACCACTGAAAAGAGCCTGTTCCAAAATCCAAAAGCACAAGCAAGCAACAACAAAACAAAACTCAAGTAATAACACCTGAGGTTGTTCTGTGGCTTCCACATGTACACACACAACCACATACGCTCACACACAGACATATACACATGCACACATATACTCATGCCACACACACATGAATATACATGTACACATGAGCACACACATACACACAACACAAAAACACATGCATACACACAAAAGCACACACGGGTATATACACATGCACACACATGCATTGATATATCACATGCATTCACACATGTGCATGCACACACACACAATGTAAATCTGATCATATCGTGTCACGCTGCTGCTGCCTTTCAGTGATGCTGAGTGTGAAGCAAAGTCCTTCTGAGCCTCTGAGAGAGTGAGCCACTCCCCTCATAGTCACTGCGTGTCATTGCCTTCACTCATGCCCTCAGCCCACTCGCCTCCTTGCCTCGTTACCTACGCCAGCCTCAGCCCCACACTAGGGTCCCTACTCTTACCTCTGGAACTCTCTCCTCTAGTCTTTACTTATCTAACTCGTTCATGTTAACCAAGAGTCCTTTCAAATATCTACTCTATGAGTGTTTCTCACCAATTCCTTCACTGAAATCCCCAATTTTGCCATTTGCCTAATGTTCTATTGTTTTGATAACTCTGAAGTCATATCATGTAGTGGTGTTTATTTGTGGTTTTGTCTGTCTTCCTGTGAGATTATGTGTTCTGTGTGGTAGGGACTAGTCCCACTGACAGCCGAATCTCACTGCCTGGACCAGTGCCTAATACATGGCAGGTGCTCAAAAAACATGAGGCATTTCTCCATGAAGAAGAATGTCCCCAGCTTTATTGTTGTCTTCCCTGTTTGCAGGGGGAGATCTGCCTCTGTACCAGCAGGATATTTGTTCAGAGGAGGATCTACAATGAATTTTTGAAGAGGTTTGTAGAAGCTACCAGAAAGTGGAAAGTTGGAATGCCCTCTGACCCATCAGCCAGCATGGGTGCTTTGATAAGTAAAGCACATTTGGAGAAAGTAAGTAATCTCTGCCATGTATGTTCCAGACAGTTCTTATTTAAAGAGAAACCCAGGCTTTAATCCTTTAATCCCAGAACTGGAGAGGCAAAGGCAGGTGGGTCTCTTTGAATTCCAGTCCAACCTTGTCTACATAGTGAGTTCCAGGACTGCCAGGGCTACATAGTGAGACCCTGTCTCAAACAAACAAACAAAAAATCCAACCGGCCAACCAACCAACCAACCAACCAACCAACCAACCAACCAACCAACCAACTAACCAACCAACCAACCAACCAAACAAACAAACAAACAAACACAAAAAACAAGAGGGGGAGAAGGAGGAAAAAAGAAGAAGAAAAAGAAGAAGAAAGTTATTTAGGGGTTGGAGAAGAGTTTCAATGGGATTTGGGTTCTAGAAGTGACTCATGTCTGATTTTGGATTCTAGCACCCACATTGGGAAACTCCAAATGTCTGTAACTCCAGCTCCAAGGGATCCAGTACCCCCTTATCAGTAAGGGAAAATTGTTTCTCATTCAGACACTTGCTTGAGCTTCTCTTTCCCTATCCTTAGAGCAAACAGTTCCTTCTGAATGAGACCTTTCCAGCCCATCCCATATAAAACTACACTCCTTAGACCTTCCCTCACTTTCCAGTGCTTTGTTCCCCCCCACCCCGTTTCTTTTTTAGGTTTGTTTTAAGTGTATGAGTGTTTTGTCTGCCTGTGGGTCTGTGCACTATATGCCTGCCTGTCACCTAAGAAGGTCAGAAGAAGGTGTTAGATCCTAGGGATGGTTGTGAGCCATCATGTGGGTGCTGGGAACTGAACTCAGGTCCTTGTAAAGATCTTCAAGTGCTCTTAACCATTGAGCCATCTCTCCAGCTCTCTCCATGATTCTTAACACTGCCAACATATAACCTGCACTTCCTTTGAGCAGAAAGTGGTCAAGTTTATTCACTTTTGTGTGTGAGATTAGACAATCTCAAGAGGCACAGCAGTGAACAGTATTCATAGGAAGAGTAATCACTCTGTGGATAACACTGTGTTCTGGGCTCCAGAACTTTATGCCACAAACTCAAGGTACCCATTTTCCTTGAAAATGTTCTTTTTGGTACTTGGCTTAAAGTACTTGGAACTGGTTCTAAATGCATGAATTCTGAACAACTCTCTTGCTGGGATGAATCAGCATGGACTCCAAATGGAAAACAAACTCAATCACCCAGCCTCTGGTCAAGAAAGTACTCATGTCATCCTCTCTGAGTCACTGGGTGAACTTATGACGTAATTTATTTTACATTATAATCCAGCTACACTGCATTGCCTACATTTGTTTTTAGAATATAATTAGTAATAAGGCTAGAAATTAGATATCTTTCTTTTCCTGGAAGCTATGATACTGAAGGCATCTGGGCCTTTACATCTTACATATTCACTTCTCACTTTCTTTAAAATACTTTTTATTATGTCTTCTGAAATCCATGCTGTGTGTTTTGATCACATTCATCCTTTCCCCCAATTCCGGTTCTTCCAAGCTCTATCCCCATCCCACTCCCACCCACATTTGTGTCTCCAGTTGTTACCCCATCAAGTCCAGTGTGCTGCCTATGTACTCTTGGGTGTGTGGCTGATCTATCAGGGCCACACCCTTAAGAAAGCCAATTCTCCCTCTCCAGGCAGTTACCAGTTACCTATAGCTACTCCGGTAGGGGTGGAACTACTCCATGCTGGAATTTTCACTGACGAGAGCTAATGCAGGTCTGGTACATGCTATCGCCGCTGCTGGGAGTTTCTATGTGCATCTGCCTTGTCTTGTCTAGAAAACAGTCTGTCTAGTCACCACTGGCTGCAGCTCTCACAGTCTTCCCATTCCCCTCCCCCACAAAGATCCCAAGGAGGTGCTGTGTATGATATGGATGTTCCATGTATGACTGAGCACTCTTCAGTTTCTTCTTCTCTGCACTGTAATCTGTTGTGGATCTCTGTGTTAATTACCATCTTCAAAAACAAACAAACAAACAAACAAAAAACCTTTTCTGATGAAGTTTGAGAGATGTACTAATCTATGGTAAAACAATAAATCATTGAGTCAGCTTAATCCTATATTATGTCTCTTTAACAGAATAATAATAATAGATTCTCACCTGGGGCCAGTGACCTGTCTAGCCACAGGTTCTTGGCTCTGATACTGGTACTAGATAAAAATTCTTTTTTGTAGAGCAGACATTAAATCCAACCAGAAGATGGTTGGTTACTCCCATGATATTTGTGCCAATATTGCACCAATGGGCATGTCTATCTGGGTAGGTTCTTGTCATTGTAGCTTTCAGGGTTCACAGTTGGATAATAGTATGGTTATTTTTCTTCTCTTGAGGTGTGCATATAAAAGCTAGCCAATAGGGATGAAGCTTCCACGTGAAAAACAGCTTTATTTCTCCATGCTCTGTGACTCAAGTATATGATGTCTTCAGTAATAGAGTCACACTCTAGAGAATAACAAGCCAAAAGTAAAGGCAATAGTCTGTAATATTTGTGGGTTTATGAGACCTCTTTGTCCAGTAACTTCAGCAGAGGTAATCCATTCCTGGCATCAGACATTTTACATGTTAGCCTATAATGTCAAGTAAGAGCATTGTCACCTTCATTATAGGGAATTTCTAACTTCTTAAAATGAACACCTCTGTCCCCCCACAAAACACATATACATACACAGTTTTGTACCTAACTACAGCATATGCCTGAGTGTGAATTAAGCTTTCTTGTTTATTAGCTGCATGAACCCTAATACTCTCTGAGGCACAATGAGATGGTGAGCAAATTGGGGGTAAAAATAGCAGATAAAGTATAGAAAAAATTAAGTGACAGTGCATGAAATCACTTATATTAGTGCCTGAAACTTAGGCATGAAATAATCTCCCTGCCCTTTGCTTGAGGACTAAATATGCAAATCCTGGTGGGAACTCCTCTGCCCTGAGGTTTTGCAACTGAGGATAACCCTACAGCCCTTAGCGCTGACCTTCTATGGGTTTTCAGTCACTAGAAAATACTGATTTCCTGCTGATGTGAGTAAAATGCCAAATGGTAAGAAGTTTGCAATTATGGCTTTTATCTCCTCAGGTCAGAAGTTATGTAATGAAAGCTCGTGCCGAGGGGGCCCAGATTCTGTGTGGTGAGGGTGTGGACCAGCTGAGCCTTCCAGTCAGGAACCAGGCAGGCTACTTCATGCTGCCCACAGTGATAACAGATGTTAAGGATGAGTCCTGCTGCATGAAGGAAGAGATATTTGGTCCAGTGACGTGTGTTGTCCCTTTTGACAGTGAAGAGGAAGTGATTAAGAGAGCTAACAGTGTTAAATATGGGCTGGCAGCTACAGTGTGGTCAAGTAATGTGGGCCGCATCCACAGGGTGGCTAAGAAGCTGCAGGCGGGTTTGGTCTGGACCAACTGCTGGCTCATCAGGGAACTGAACCTGCCATTTGGTGGTATGAAGAGCTCTGGAATAGGAAGAGAAGGAGCCAAGGACTCATACGACTTCTTCACTGAAGTAAAAACCATTACTGTTAAACACTGACTTTCGGCTGTGGAGAAGTGGCCACAGCTGATGCTTGGAGGCCAGAGAGTCAAGTGTGCACTGCAATGAACAGAGACCACAGCATGTCTTTAGCCATGTTGTCACATGCCAGGAGACTAGCTCTTATTGACCTTCACTAGTTGGTATTTTTACCAGCCTGTGAAAAAATATGCAGTTTTTAATGTGGAATGAGAACATCACTTCTAAAGAGGAGATGCAACAAAACCAACCAGCTAACCCGGGCCCTCATGGTATACCTTCATGCATGTCATTGTTAGAATGAATTCTTGAAAAGCTGCCCAAATCAGGCATTTTCACTTACAAATATATGGCTAAACAAAAACAAACTGGAGACCAGGGAGTTGCTCAGTGGGTAAAAGGCTTGTTGTCCAAGCATGAGGACCCCAACATCAGTGTAAAAGCCTGACTTGGTAGCATATAACACACACCACATATATGTGTATGCGCATGCACATATATACACTACCACCACAATCATCAACAAAAACCTGAAGAGAATCAGCTGCCATCACTTTCTATCTCAGCAAAGATATGGAGATGGTCTCCTTAACCCCTAGCCACTAGCAAACTGATTCCATTAATATCAGGAAGTGATGGTCATGAGGAGCTTGTAAGTGTCACACATGATAGGTCTTACTAAATATGTCTGATAAGAATAAAGGAAAACAAAGGAATGGTTACTTTTTAGGGAAACTTGGAACACAAAACAGTTTGATCCATTTTCACTGCCAAGGCCAGTCAACTCTGATTCTTCAAAGGAGAAATAAATTGTTCATCAGTATGGCATATGCCATGAGTTGTTCAATACTCTCCTTATCCTCACTCTCTTAGAAGTATAGATTTTTCACAAATAAAGTCTGTCTAATGCCTGCTTCCGATACCCTCCAAACGTCCTAAGGAAAACACCGAGGGTTACAGAAGTTCAGTAGCAGCTTCAGGGTTGCACAGAAGGCATGGGGCAGGGGTGGGATTTGAACCTCAGGCACGTTCCGGACTTGTGACAGCCTCATTCCTGCTGTGGGTTGTGCTCCAGAAGCAGGGGAGCACTTGTGGTCCCAGCACACATTGTTGCCAGTCACCTTTCCAGGTCCTCCTTGCTTCTGTCCCTGGCCCTGTTCTTCCTGAGTGAGGGGCCTCTCTCCACAGCAGCTATGCAGACCAGGTACCTCCTCCAGCTCTCCCTTCTCCTCACTGACTGGAATTATTTATTTGCTGTCTGATTCCACAGCTGGCTGGACTCCTGAAGGCCCCAGCTCAATGACTCCCTTCTGAGCCTCGAATTTATTGCACAATGCCTGGCACACAGAAGGGGCTAAACTGAGCTTGTAGAATGGAATAAGAGCTCCCTGGTTGTCTGTTTGCATAGTGCCAGGCAGGAATTGGTGGTGCTGGCGACAGTGGTAAGATTAAGTGCCGTGAGTTTTCTTAGGGCTTCAGGTATATGTTGTCATGTACAGATGTCGAGAAATTTCAATTGACCTTTTGAAGAGCAAGTTGTGACATTGGGCTGTATTGCTTTCTAGTGTTTACGTCTTCTCTTTTCTCCTTCCTTTTTCTATTTTTTTTTTCTGTCTAGCTGAGGCCCATAACCTTCATTAGCTTAGCCCATAACCTTCATTAGCTTAGTCCAAGACTGATTCTGAATATTAGCAGAAGATATTTCAGTAGCTGTAGTCATTAGGAATCTCTGTGTTTGTGCTAGAGAATGATCAACTAGCTAGTTGGGAGAAGGAAAGAATGATGTTTGGTTGAGGTTCATAGCTATGTGCCTTTCCTCATTGACTACAAATATGCCTTGAATGGGTTAGAAAGGGGAGTGGAGTGCATATTATTTAAAGCTACATACATTCTATTAGTAAACCTTTTAAAATAACACTGTAAGCTAAAAATACTGGAAGACGAGAAGCAGATGTGGAGGGTTGGGGAAGTGTGTCCCATTACAGGCCATTCATTGTAGGGAGATGTGCTTGTTTTTTGAAGATGATAAAGAGAAATGCAGGCACAAACAGTGGTTAGCTCAATGGTATTGAAGACCTAAATGCAGAGCTATTTGAGAATGATTGCTCTTAGTTTGGTAGTACATGCCTATCCATAATCTAGCAATTTGGAAGCCAAGGTAAGAGGATTACTATCAGTTGCAAACTGGTGAAAAACATCTCAAAACCAATTTTTTTTTTCCTCCTGGGCAAATGAACTGAGGGTTGGAAAGGAAGTATCTGGATTCAGGGACAGACCATCTTAACTTCAATTTGTGAACAGTGTGCCCTCTCTGAATTGCTCTTGTTCATTTTTTAAGGTGCTGTAACTAGCCTGCTTTAGAAAATGATGCCCATATTTCCACACTCCCACATGATGCTTTTTCAGCAAGTGGAGGCTGGGAACCATGTACTGTGTTGTTGTAGGATACACCAGGCAACCTCAGAGGGCTAAGGTTGCCTAATGTCTTGGAAGGTCAGCATAGGCTACCAGAAAGAGCACTTTCCCCCACAGACACCTTGGGAAGCCTGCCTAGGTCAGGCCAAAGGAGGACAGTATCATCTGCTGGATCAGAGCTACCATCTTTCATAGAAGACTTCTTTGCTGTGCACCTGATATTCTCCTGGGAGTTTCCATTATCCTTGTGTTAGGTAGGGGTCTTGCAGCCGCCCATGACTATTTACAGTGGGTGCATTTACTTCTGGGGGTGAGTCTCTCAATTCAGGTGTACGAGTAAGGTTTTAGGAGTATCATCTTAGGACATTTTGCTTGTGGATACTAAAGGGAGACTTCTGGAACATATTCTGGTGTCCATCATCTATCTGCTGAATGGTCTGAAGGGTTCACATCATCAGTCTTGGCTGCCAAGCTGAATCGCACCCAGGCATTGATGATTCACCCCAAAGCCTATGCAGTCCATCACTACTCTGAGGTTTCTGCCAAATGAATGGTAGGCAGTTCTGGTAAGAATCACATTTCCGATTGCAGTTGGCCATGCATCATGTGTTGATAGGCTGCCTAATCTTGCCTGTTGTCTGAAGACATGCCCTCTCCACGAGTTTGATTATGGTTTTCTCATCTCACACCTCCTCCCATTCCTCCTCCACATGCCTCGGTCCAGCCTTACCCGTGGAGATGTCATTATACTCCAATCTCATAATTGCATTTAATTCCAGTGTGACTCAACAATCTCCCACAAAGCTTTGGAAATTACTCACCAGAACATTAAGTTCTGTATATATAAAGTGGATGAATCATACATATTAGATTGCCAGAGATCTTGAGGTCACTCTTCCTTCCCCTAGATGGACAACTGAGGCATAAATGAAATTTCCTTGCTTGCTAAAAATATTAACGGCAAAAGGGTTCTGTAAGTAGAACCAACTGGACATCCAGAAAATCACAAGCATCAGGGACCTAGAGGTTTTCTGAGGGCAATGAAAACGTCATTGCTAATTCTGAGTCCCAACCCCCATATTGTAAATGGTTGACCTTTGTCTCTACTGAGGATGAGTTATGAAGGCAAAATCATTCTTAATCTTAGCTTCCGGAACTGAATGTACACGTGAAACCAAAAGTATCACATTCTAATGCTTATAGCTCATTCCCATTCCTGGAGGACTCTAAGGCTGGGCGGAACCTCTGCAGGGGCGGTTGGGCCATTGGGTGGTGAGCAGTCTTGATTCTTTGTAATCGTTGTGAAAGCCTGGGAGCTGTGGGGCTCTGCAGCTCTAGGTGCCTGCTTCATGGGGTGAAACAGGTGTGTATGGGGCACACCGTTCTCTTACTTCAGCATCACACTGTGTGTTCACACATGAGATCACAAGGACTCTACCACTGGGAGGGAAGAAAGGGAGCCTGGCGCATCTCCAAGCAGGAGATGTGTGATTTTCATGTGTCACTCTTGAGAAATCAGAACGTGGAAGAATCACTGAGATAAGCAAGTGGCAAGGTTGGTGAGTGAGTCAGCTCTTTGCAGGGAGTTTTGGACCGTTTGTCTGATCCTAAAAGCTCAGTTCCTTCCTTTGGAAGCCCCTTTTCCATTGATTTTTAGACATTTGGGTGAATGTACTCTTCCTTTTAGTAGTGATAAGCACTGAGAAGCCGTGCTGAGGGGCTATTTATAACTCTCTGGGTCTCTGGGGCCGCTGGCTGGGACTTGCACTGAGTTAATGGTTTGTGTTCAGGCCAAGTTCTGTCATCTGGGTGGAAGCGATACCACCTCTACTGTCCCCATGGAAGTGACACTAACTTGCTTACTGGAGCTTTGACTCCAGCTGAGACTGTTGACCTTCCTTCCCGCTCTTGCTGTCTCTTGCACCTTCCTCTGCTGCCCCAAATAAAGGGAAAGTTCCCATCTCCTACACTCTCACCGGCAGGGAACTGCACCCTTTCCTTGGGGTATATTTAGTGCATTATAATCTTGAGAAAGACCAACTCCCTGAATGGTGAGGTTAGAAATAATTAGACAAGAAAACCCCTTCTCTGGAGTTCATGTAACTGTCAAAATGATAAGGACCGGAAACCCTGCTTCAGCTCAGACTTGCCACCCTCCCTGAACCTTTGAACTGTATTGTTTATAGATATATTATAGCATCCCCAATGGCAAGATGGAGTGAGTATGGCTTTATCTATCTGCCTTTGGCTATATTGTTCACTATAAATTGCTGTTAGAAGCAAAGACCTGGGGTTGGAGAGATGGCTCAGCATTTAAGAGCACTGGTTGTTCTTCCAGAGGATCTGGGTTCAATTCCCAGCACACACATGACTGCTCACACCTGTCAGTAACTCCAGTTCCAGGGGACCTGACACCTAGATAGATAGCTTCAGATGCTTAAATAACTCAGCAATAATGGGACTGTTCAGTACACTCAACGATGGGACTGACCAGTACACTCAATGATGGGACTGAGCAGTACACTCAACAATGGGACTGATCATGACCAGTACACTCAACGATGGGACTGACCATGACCAGTATACTCAACGATGGGACTGACCAGAACACTCAATGATGAGACTATTCAGTACACTCAACGATGGGACTGACCATGACAGTACACTCAACGATGGGACTGTTCAGTACACTCAAC